GAAGATTTATCACATCCCATTTAGGATAGCATATCAAGATTTGTCAAACCAAGACACTCAAATTTATTATATTAAACTACATATAACAATTCGTGATTCTCGAGTCAGGACAAACTCTAAACCAATTATCGAGAGTTCAAATTATTAGATTAAGATGCTTAATTAATGGATAATTTTTGTTTATTCCAAGTGAAACTTAAAACATATTGTACCCCTTACGATGATCATATTATCTAATCGTGACTCATTTTCATGCGAATGTTCATGAAGTCTTAGTTGAAGATTTTATGTCAAATGTCTATCAAGACACTCAAATTTAGTATATTATACAATATGTATAAATCACTAATTCTTGAAGTGATTGTTGTCTATATGTTGGTTCAAAATCTCAACCCAAGACACTCACCACACTATCAATGGTTCTTGTCTTAACATGGTCATTTAGTGTATATATTTCGAACTTTTTTAATGTGCATTTGTAATTTTTTTTATCTTTGGTGTTTGGTTCATGAAACCATACTAAACATCGTACTTGAAAAGTCTGTGGTAGGGCCTTTTATGGCAAAATCGTGGCTTAACCACAGTTCAACAGTTAGTACCGTGAAATACAGTGTATCGGTTTACCAAAAATCGATGCATGGGAAATACCTTCTCGAAAACAGCAATTTCGTCGGTACGGTACAGTTTCATTAACCATTTATGAAACAAATTTTTTATTACTCATCTTAATAACTGATAAAGCGTGTCTACAACGCACACAAATTTTAGGTGCATTTAAAACGGCGTATCGTTTGAACAATTAATTTATAATTTTTTTAAAAAGTTGATTTTCTTATTAGTTTTTAAAAATTTATACAACCATTATGATATTTCGCATACATATGTATTCATGATTGTATTGTAGACACATCTATTGTAAGCATATGTAAAGAGTTTAATTTACTTTTTAATCATAGTTAATACCTTCGAACTTTGCTCGATCAGTGGAATATGAAAGAAAAAAAATAATTGTGGCTAGGATAACTCTATCTAAATACAAACTAGTTTTTTACCCGGGCAGTTGGCCGGAGAAGTTCATTTTGTTATTTATATTAGTTAACTTATCTACAGTTTGAACTTTTTGGATCTTGTATACATTTTCTGCTCTCGCTTCATAAGTGAACATGTGGTATGCCTATATCGAATATTATTTAATAGTTAGCACACTCGTTTGTGATTTTATTTATTCTCTGATCATAAATCATGTCGTAAAGGTTTATCACGTCCCATTTAGGATCGTATATAAAAAAAATTATACCAAGACGCTCAAATTTATTATCTTATACAACATATATCAATTCATGATTCTCGAGTTTGTACGAACTCTCAGCCAATTAATCAGAGTTCAAATTATTGGAAAAAGATACTTGATTACTGGATAAATTATGCTTATCCCAATTGAAATTTGACACACATCGTATCCCTTATAATGATTAAATTCTCTAAACCTCACTCATTTTTATTGTTGATGTTCATGAAGTCTTTGTATATCAACTTATTACTTTGCTAATATTTTAAGTTTGTACTAACCCTCAACCCATGCCTTTGTTTAGATGTTCGTTTAGAATCTGAATCCAAGGATTCATGTACACTATCGAAGGTTCTCATCTTAACATGTTCCTTCAATGTATAATTTTTCAACTATTTGAATGTCCATTCACTAAAATTTCTTTATATTTGTTGTTTGTTCTAGAACAAAATTTTCATTACTAATATTAATAATTGATAAAGTGTGTATGCGACAAACAAATATTTCAGGTGCATTCAAAATGTATTCCTTGAATAATTAACTTATAATTTTTTAACAAAATATTTTGTAGCAAAATTTAAAATTTCATACAAACATTGTGACTTTTCACATGTAATTAAATTATTGGATGTATTGTAGACACATATATTATTAATATCTAAACATATATGTATACAAAGAGTTTATTTTACTTTCAACACTAATTAATACTTTTGAACTCAGCTCCTTAGTTGAATATGATATCAATCTTTTTTGTTATTGCCCTATTTAGTATGAAATCACAGACTCACAACTATATAGACTTGTTACAATTTTCTCACTAAACTCATATTTATTAAATATTCTTCTTTTGACCCAATAGCTCGGTTTAATATTTTTTGTTATATATGTGAAGTAAAATATTAATGTTTATTTATTAGCTCAATCTTCGAATTTAGATTTTTCTTAGCATGAAATGTGATGTTTAACGTACATCCTTAACAAAGATGTCTCTAAATTTCACACATTTCATTTTTCAAGTGATCTCGTGTCTCAGTCAAAGTTCATCAACTATTATACTCAAGTCATTTTGGAAAATTCAATGTATAATCTTTATCAATAAATAACTCCAAGTCTGAAAAGAAAATTTCTTAGCATATGATGTAAGACCTCAATTGAGCTTGCTCAATCAACATGACCTAGAGAAAATATTAGTAATGTGAACTTAGGATACATTATAAATACTGCACATGTGATTCATATGTTTTCACTTGATCAGAATGAATAAAAATCTTTTTTTTAATAAATAACTACTATTTCTTTGTCAAGTTTCTTTCAGACATTATCGACAAAATATTATTATTTTTGTGTTTTTGTTTAAATTATTCATTAAAATTATTCATTAAAATGTAAATTATTATTAAGTTTTAGTAAAAATGAGCATAAATTTACATAGTAATATCATATATTTTTTTGGTTTAAAAAGTGTGATATATATGTCACTCTACGAACATTAGTATACTGTTGCGTACATCGATATAATTCAAAACCAAAATGTGATATATGTCACTCTCCATCATGATTGTCACGTCGGTCGGCATGCCACCGGTCGAACCATTCAACCGGTATCGGTCATGAAATCGACATGACACCATCGGTATGACCGGTATGATAGTTTTACGAATTTCCTAGTAAAATACGTAGTTTTAGTGAATTTAAGTATGAGTACATGTAATTTTATTTGAAATATCATATTTTATTCAAATATCAATATGAGGTGCACGTAAATTTTCTTCAAATATGGTTTATATATGATTAAATTCATTTGATATTAATGATTTTTTATATTTTTACATATTTTATTAACCGGCACGACACAAACCGGTTGTACCACTGGTAAAACCATTCCACTTGCTAAACCGGTTTGATAACCTTTCTCTCCATATATTATTTATAGATATAATGCAAAAAAAAAGGTAAAATAATTATTGGATAAAAGATAATTAAATATTAAATGAAGAGAGAGGGACAACTCCATAAATAGGTCAATAACAATTTTTTTTTGTAAAAAAATTGTCCACCTTGGCAACTTGAGATCTCTCCAAATGCTTATGTGGCAAAAATTTAATTTTGAATTGCCATAATATTATGTATAGATAGATAGATAGATAGATAGATAGATTGTTTCATGTTACAAAGTAAAATATTTATGTTTTGACACTTTGATATCAGAACATTTTTGTTATTGCCAAAATTTGGTATTCAGTCACAGGCTCACAACCATACTACCAAATGAATTCTTACAATTGCCTTGTTAAACTGATCATTATTAAAGATTTAACATTTTTAACCCAATAACTCAGATTAGACTTTCAAATACATCCAACTATTAAACAAAAATTGTCAGCCTTTGTTTGATCAATGCTTAGGTCAGTGGTTGATGATACGCGATGTTTACGATACATGGTCTACAAATACTTCTTTAACATTCACATGTGTCATATAATACTTGTACATCGTCAAGTTTCTATCCAGATATTTGGTTATATAATACTTACTATATTTGATAGACGTATACATTAGAAATGAGAAAATGTATGATTGTAAAAAATATAAAATAATATAGTTCATTTTTGAAAGTCGATTGATCGTCAAATCACTGATTTCTCTCTTTCCATCACTACATTTGTTTGATCGGATAAAATGTTATTATTTATGTGTGCTTTTTCTATTTTTCCAATAAAATGTAACTTATTATTAAATTTTAGCATAAATGAGTAGAAAATTGACTTAAAAATGTAATAATGTGTTTTCGATTTAAAAATGTAAGAGATGTCACTTTACAAACATTAGTCTATTATTGCATACATAGATTAATACATATAATGCAAAAAAAAAAAAAAAGAGCTCCACAAATTGATCATTAACTCAATTTTTTGTTTCCAAAAATATTGTCCACCTTGACAACTTGTGAGTTCTCCAAATGCTTATATGACAATAAGTAACTTTTAAACAACCATAATATATAGTAAGATAAGATTGGTTATCCTCATCGTAAGATAATATATTTTCTTACTGTTATATGTAAAGGGTCTTCTCTATTCACAACCCTCATTATCTCTCGTGATATTAACCTTCCACCCTTCATTTCAATTAACCTATTGCACTCATTTATGGGATTAAGTGCAATGTTGATAAACTTAAAGTTTTTTTGTCTCGGCATGAATATAGTAGTTTGCATCACTCGATTGTACAAATCACAGAAAGTAAAAGAAAAAAAAATAGCATTTATAATTTTCAAACTGACAAATCACCGATTAAATAAGATATTAAGAGTGACCTATAATAAAATTATTGAACTTAGATAGAGACATCAACGTTTATAATGTTTCCTCGATTTTAATAGTTGTCATATTACTTGTTACCCATAAAAAACAAAGCACTTGAAGTTGAAATCACCCCTATCCCTATGTAATATATACTCTATAGTGCTCAATAAAAACAAATTTGTTACTAACGACGTTTGACACAATTATTTTTTTAATCAGCAGTAGTCATAGTTAATCATGATTAGTGATAACATAGCTCCAAAATTACTTTATCCCTTTTAATGGTTTTCCCCACAATTATTGCCAACTGAGTCCAAAAGTTGTTGTTTTTTTTACTATATTTAGGATGCCAATTTGGTGTAAAGAACAAAAAGCAGCCGGCCGTGCCTGTCAAAAAGTTTCAACTTGGTACTTATTTTTTTGTTTTCAACGAATAATTGAAGATCTTTTGCAGTTTGCTCCCCGCCGGCGGGTGCCCGAATCCACCTCCGGCCACCGGGTTGTAGATCGTGCGGCCAGTGCCAGCCTACGTGTCCCCGGTTATGCTCTGTTGCTGACTAGGAAGCCATCCCTTTGTGGGGCCCGCAACCATCTCAAAACCGACAGAGCAGACGACAGCCTCAAAATCCCTTCTTTTTTTCTGCGTGTCCATCTCCCTCTCCACCACCATCTCCTCTCCAAATCCATGGCGTAAACCTTCTCCCGGCCTCAGCCTCGTATCGCCCTGCCGCCCCCGCCGCCGCTAGCCCTCTCCGGTATCCGGCATTCTCTTCTCCCGCTAAAATCGACGATCCAAAAGAGAGGGTTCAGCGGTTAGATTTGTCTTCCAATTCTGTCACCGGCATGGGCATTACGAGCGAGGACGTCGTCCTGATCCAGCCGGCGAAGACGCCCGGCGACCCCACAGTCGTCACCGTCAATTGCCCCGACAAGGCCGGTCTCGGCTGCGATATCTGCCGCGTGATTCTGGAGTTCGGCCTTCGAATTAATCGAGCAGGTACTCTCTTCCTGTATTTTTTTTTTTTTTTTTTTTTTTAAATTGCCCTTTTCAATTGTGCTTTCGTTCCTTTTCGTGAATGGTGGATTTGGGTTTCTGATGAATTTTGAAGATTTCTCCACGGATGGGAGATGGTGTTATATGGTGTTCTGGGTGGCTCCATACTCGAGCTCGCATCGAGTTGATTGGGAAAGCTTGAAGAATCGGGTCTACTATGAAACTCCTTCCTGCTTGGGTCCTTACTATTTTGGAAACAAGTCGGATGGTCCCTCATCTTCATCATTGTACCTCTTGAAGATCTTCTGTGTTGACAGAAAAGGATTGCTCCATGGTATGTACTCCGGTAGAACAAAGTTTGATCACTTTTTTTTTGTTGTTGTTCTCTGCAGTGTTTTTCTTCATGCTTAACTCTCCTTTTGTTTCTGGTGTGTAGATGTTACCAAAGTTCTTACCGAGCTTGAGTTCACGATCCAGAGAGTGAAAGTTATGACGACTCCGGACGGTCGAGTTGTGGACTTGTTTCTGATCACGGACAACTTGTGAGTTGCTTGGATTCATGTGGCTGATTGACCTTTTTTCATGTGTTAGCTTAAGTGTTACTTGAATTTTCTGCTGGAGGATTCTGATTATTTATTATTGTAGGGTTGCAATTGTGTGTCAATCTTCAAACTTTATTTGCCAGAAGGCATAGATAGAGATAGGGTTGCTAGTGAACGAAAAATGAAACTTTACAACATTTTTTCCTGCACATTCACTTGCATCACGTACACAAGGGCTTCTTCTGCTGATCTTTAGGATTCTGTCAAAAGTTTGGTTACTATATTAGCCTTGCCTGTTCTTGGTTTCGTGCTTCATTTTCGTCTTGAAGTTGCTATAGCTTGAACGGGGACCTGTGTAAGTGATATTGGCATCTTGCATCTGCATTCAGAATCTCCTCAATTACTCAACTTGAAGAAATGATAAAACTTATTACTAACTTACAGGCAACTTTTGCATACCAAAGAAAGGCAAGACGACACCTGCAGATATTTGCTCAATGTGTTTAAAGACAACTGTATCGACTGTGAGCTGCAAGTGGCAGGGCCCCAGTACGAAACCTTACGGGCTTTCTCGTCCATCCCAGAGGCCGTTGCAGAAGAGCTGTTTAGTCCTGATCTCTTTGAAATGGATTCAGGTGAACAACTGGGTGAAAAGAAGGAGAAGGCCATCATTACAGTTGATAATCAGTTGAGTACTGCTCATACATTGCTCCAAATAGAGTGTGTTGATCAAAAAGGCCTCTTTTATGACATTCTGAGGACTTCAAAGGAATGCAATATAGGGGTACTTTTTGCTTCTACTTAATGCTTCACCGGATTGGATTTTTCATTTTGATGCTTAATGCTTGGAATTACGTGGATGCTGATACTTCTGTTCTTGTTCGTACATTTCAGGTAGCTTATGGTAGATTCGCTCCAAGCAAGAAAGGACTTCGGAATGTGGATTTGATCATTCAGCAAACAAACGGAAAGAAGATTGTGGACCCTAAGCATCTCGATATCCTATGCTCTCGCTTAAAGCACGCGATGCTTCATCCGCTCCGAGTGATCATTGTTAGCCGAGGTCCAGATACCGAGCTCTTGGTTGCCAACCCAGTCGAGTTATCCGGGAAGGGAAGGCCGCGTGTTTTCTACGACGTTACTTCGGCTCTAAGAAAGTCTGGAATATGCATATTCTCGGTATGTTCTTCACAGCATTTGTCTTGTTTACTTGCCCCTTGTGCTTGTCTAGTTTGATGTTTTTCTTCTCTGATATGCTTAACATGGATATGTTCCCTCACACCACTGGGGAAATTCTGTAGGCTGAAATCGGAAGGCACTCGACACAGGATCGTGAGTGGGAAGTTTACAGATTTCTCTTGGATGAGAGCCGTGAGTTCCCGCTGTCGAGCCCTGAATCCAGAAGCAAGGTAGTGAAGAGAGTCAGGAGAACACTGATGGGATGGTAGGAACAATGCAGATATCCATGGCCGAGCTGATTGAATGGCATCCAACATCAACTGTCAACTCAAATCCCTTGTTGTAATGCTTAGCAGGCAATTGATTCTTTTCTCAGTTGAGCTGTGTACATATTTGTTGTTTTTAGATAAGTGAGGCCAAAAACAATTACCCGTTTCGATCTGTATCTATTATGTATGGTTTGTGTATGTATATTTCAAGATGGGTAGTCTCGATTTTCTTGGTTATGGCGGGGGAATATAAGTATATAACCCGATGAAGGCCATCCTTTTTATCTCTTGCATACTGTACAGTTTCCAGCCCTAAAACAGCTCCCCGATGCTTTCAGAAACTACATTCAACGTAAGATTCCTTTCTGACATTATTTGTGAAATTCTGTGAATGTTACTACGAGGAATGTAACACCAACTTATTACAATTACACCCAGTGGAAACGCGATCGGATGAAAACACATTTGACCTCCAAAGTGCAAAGTTATGCAACTCAGTGAATTGGGATTGGATTACATTCTCGATGAAATCTGACTTGCCTTCTCCTCCATGCTCTGTTCTCGTTCAATTGCCTTCAAAACATCCCTCAAAACCACCATCCTATTCTTCGCAAAAGCTCCACCGTCCCACCTCCGCTTCAAAATCCGCTCACCCAGCTCCACCGCAGCATCAACAGTCCCTTCCGGACCTTCCCCCACAGAACCCACGAGCCCTCTCTCCACCGCCATCTCCGCCGTCAGCTTCTCGGCCCCCATAACAACCTCCCGTAATACCTTCCCGCGCCCAATCTTAATCTCCAACAGGACCACGAACCATTGGGGTATCACCAGGCCAATATCGACCTCGCTCATGTACATAAAACCTCTGTCTTTCCTCATCACCACGTAGTCATGGGCCAAGGCCAGGATCATCCCGGCCGCCGCCGCGTGGCCCGTGACGGCGGCGATGGTCGGCATGGGGAGCGAGATCAGGTCGGATACGAGCAATTGGAATTTGGAAGACATGAGCTTGAGGCGCGGTGAGGAGGATTGGGCCCATGAGAGGTCGAATCCGTTGGAGAAGAACTTGCCGTGGTTGGTAGTGATTAGAATTGAAGGTGGAGAGGATGGTGGGTGGGATTTGAGGGTTGATAGATCGGATCGGATGGAATCGATTAGGTCTGGGTTGAGACGGTGCTCCCCTGGATCTGTTAGAGTGAGGATGTAGATGTTTCCTTTCTTCTCTAAGCTGCACATGTTTGTTCTTCTGTTCTGTATATCCTCTGTTTTTACTCTGTTTCGCTTTCGCCACTCTGTTTTTTTTTACTTGCTCTGTTTTTTTTTATGGATTGTTGCGACGGTTTACGAGTTCTATAGGCGAAAGGAAGTTGGCAGTCAAAAGACGTCTGGATGTTAGAATAGGAACGAAGGGTTGAAGAAGCTTCATGGTAGTTGCAGGTAAAGGGTAGCTATCGAATGGAAGGTGCAATGTAATTGATGGTTCTGTGAATATGATAAAAAAACAGAGTAAAGCAGGAAAAACCAGTGAGGGATTGTCATATGATCGACTTTGACTACTTTCCTCCTTCCAATTCATCGAGGTTAATGGTTTGAATATGTATTCCCATCCAAATATCAACTCGATTCATTTTAACAATATTTGTAAAATTTATGGAATCAAGGAGAGATCGCATTATATACGATATTGTATGCCAGGTTCAAATATCGATTTGGTACGATGCAGATTTAATCATCGCACATCCTACTCATTATGATTCAAAGTTAAGAGATACAAACAAATATTTTAAATAATCTAATTTTACGGTTGAATTGTCTCTTTTATATGACGAGAACTTCCGACTGATTTTACTTCCCAAGAAATAAATGGTCCCAGTTGAAATATATGATTATTGAAACTGAATTTTACGTTAGTTCTCAGAAACCGCTCCACAAAATTGGAATTGGGGCAAATGATTCGTGCTTTTATTCGAGATTTCTATTAGATTGATAGATTGATAGGGGTTAAGTTCTTAATTCGAAATAGAAGATTGATATGAGAAATATCGCCCTATCACCAGGGAGGAGTTATAATGCTAATACTTTTTGGGTAATGTCTATTTTGTATTCAAATCTTTTTCAGATTTTTTTATATTATCCAAACCTACTAAGAATTAGCCAAATGTTGACTTTTAGTTAGCAAATCTGTTAGTAATATTGACTTGACAGCATGATACTGACTTGGAAGAGACACATGGAGGTCAACATTCCAAAATTTTAGTATTTTAACTAAGAAAAAAGTTACAAAATTATTAATGATAACATTAAAATGGCTAATATTTTGATGCATTACAAAAGATTTGACTAATTGATAGCATTTTAATAGATTTGGCTCAAGAAATTGTACACAACTATCATAGGAAGGGTATTACTCCTAGATGTGCAGTCAAAGTTGACCTAATGAAGGCTTTTGACTCGATTCATTGGGGTTTCTTGTTCACGGTTATGGAAATGATGAACTTTCCTGCTCAATTTCTAACTTGGATTAAAGTATGTCTAGAAACGGCCAGTGTAAAGCCATAGGGCTTACCCACCTAAGTTTTGCAGACGATTTATTGATATTCACAGAAGGGACAACTCAAGCTTTGGAAGGGTTACGAAATGTGCTTGATATGTTCTATAGCATTTCAGGGCTTCGATGTAATCCAAACAAGTGTGAAGTATTTTTTGGAGGAATGGAGGAGAGGTTAAAACAGATAGCATCGGGCAGATAAGGGTTTAAAGAAGGCTACCTACCTGTGAAATATCTTGGCGTGCCACTTCAGTCTGGATCCTTGTCTAGTGCTGACTGCAGTCTACTCATAGATAAACTAACTAGCAGGCTTCGACCTTGGCGTGCCTACAAGCCGTTCTATGCTGGTAAGCTGCAGTTGGTATCTTCTGTCCTTTATTCTACAACGCAGTTATAGATGACAGTCTACATGTTGCCCAAGAAAATCATTACAAGGATCCAAAAAATCTGTTCTGACTTTCTTTGGTATGGTGAGGGTACTGGAAGGGCAAAAGCCAGTTGGGACCTGATATGTCCACCTAAGAATGAAGGGGGTTTAGGATTGAGGGATTTGTATACATGGAATGTGGCTTGTGCACGCAGAATGATTTGGATGCTTCTTATGCATGGAGGATCGTTTTGGGTGGCTTGGATTGAGAAGCATAGGTTAAAAGGGAGGTCTGTTTGGTTAATTCCAGAGACACAAACATGATCATGGTTGTGGAGGAAGCTTCTTAAGCTGAGGGCATGGTTTCAATACAGACTATTGCAAGAAGGAAATGAGGTCACATGGGAAGGCAGATTGTTGGAAAAATTCTCTATCAGAGTTGTATGGCAGTCTATTCGACCACGGAATCAAAAGGTGTTGCGGTATTCAGCTTTGTGGGGGAAGTTTACTATTCCTAGACATCAATTTATGGCATGGTTGATTATACACATTGTATCAGGACTCGAGCACAGCTTAAGGAATGGGGTGTCATTGAATATGATATTTATCTACTATGTCAGGGTGAATCTGAAACACGTGACCATCTCTTCTGTAGCTGTCCTAATGCTGTGGCGCTTTTACATGCCTTGTTCCCTAGTATTTCTTGGTCTACAATCTGGGAAGAGATGTTGCAGCTAGGGGTGGACAGCGGCATGGTTGGGCGGATTTTGAGCTCAAATCCACCCACCCATATCTTTGCGGATGGCTATGATAATGACCCACACCCACCCACTTAAGTGATAGCGGGCGGGTTGGGTGGGCGGTTTGCTCGGATGAAAATAATTATATATTCTGAAAAAACTTAATGCAAAGTAACATGATAATCCTATAAAATTGATGAAGCTGTGCTAACCCACAAACATAAAAGTTTCTACAAGTTCAAAATCCCATCCCATTCCCATAATATGGTGCTGGTATGTGGCGTTAATGTGGAAGGAGCGGTGTGCCAGAATATACACGCCTGCCAGGAAAAGCTGTGGGGAGCTGTTACAACAACTCAAGCAGGAAGTTAGATTTTATTGTGCAGACAATGTTGAGTTCCACAATGTAGTAGGAAGCTCTTGTTTTTCTCAGGTATTAGCTGATAGTGGACACTAAATTAATAGATAGATGGGTATAACTATTTCTCTTTTGCATTTGTGTAATTAGTACTGCAAAATGCAGGATGTAATTTTCGAGACTGCTTGTTTTCAACAAGCTTGAGCATAATTTTCGAGACTGCTTGTAATAGGCTGTCTCTTCTGAGCTGGTCTGACCCCAGTCTGCATTTTGATTTACAGATCGTTTGGTACCAAATGAATTGAGAATTCATTTCATTGTAAAATGAATTACTTTGTAGAATTCATTTTCAAATGAAATCTTGTGTTTGGTATGTCATATTCAAATCTTTAGAAATAAAATGAATTGGCGTGTAGAATTCATTTGGAAATTCCAACTCAAATCCTCGAAATTGCTATTACTAGTTCAAATTTCATAGAATTCAAAATTTAGAATTGAAAATGAATTCTGTTACATACCAAAGATAAAAATATTTCATTCCAAAATGAATTTATCAAAACTTATGAAATTCCAACTCAAATTCTGTTACATACCAAAGAACATTGATTTCAGAAGTCAAAAGGACTATGGAAGCCCAACTTACCAACTGAACAAAGTGGGTTTGGCTGGCCTGTTCCAATTTTTAAAATTGTCATTGAAGTCCTTATACTATTGAAAGGTGACAATTGGATCCCTGTATGTCTATTTTTCATGAAAAAGTCCCTCTAATAGTTAATTAAATATAATGGTCTCCTTCGCCGAAGCCAAGACGGCGAAGACTCCATTCTATAATTTAACAGTACTGCTAATGACTGATTAATTTTTTCATACTGCGGTGAATAAAAATTAAAGGGAAAAGAGAGTAAAATAAAGCGGCGAGTGGAGTGGTCATTAAAAAGGAGAAACCAAACATTAGCGCTTGCCAGCTAATAACCAAAAAATAAAAAAAAGGAAAATAAGAGAGAAACCTCTGTCATAAAACTATGCTTATACTTCCAGCTCATCAATTAACAAAGCTAAACAACGCCCCGAAATTTCAGAAAAAAAGAGAGGCGATTCTGTTTTCATTAATTAATTAATTTTCCAATCTGAAAAATTTCCTCCCCTTCTTCCCTTACAATTCTCACACCACCCTGGACGAACAAGAAAAGGAGACGAAAGAGATTGAAGAAAGACCAGGAACGAGAACGAAGGCAGAGTAGTAGAAGAAGAAGACACAGAAGAAAAGGAACAGAGAAGGAAGTAAGGAAGAAAACGACGGGGGCGTTGGTCACTTCTTCTATCTTCGCTCTGCTTTCATTTTCTGATCTCGAGCGAGAGAGAGAGAGAGAGAGTCTCTCTTCTCGCTGGCGATTCAGCAAATGTAGGAGCTCCCACGGTGGAGAAGGGAAGAAGGAAAAACGGTAGGTTCCAGAAGTTTTGGCCCCGCACCGCAGCAGTGGAGGGAGGACTTTTTTCGCGATTCGGAGCGGGAAGGGAGATAGATGTCTTCGTCGGCGTTCAGTCCGTCGCGGGGCAGTCCGGTCGGGTCAAGGTTACAGAGAGGAGCAGCACTTTGTTCTAATCGGGAGCTCAAGGCTGAGATCCTCTTCCCTGAGGAAGCCGCCGGAGCCTCTGCGGAGAGCCGTCGCTGACTGCCTGTCGTCTTCCGCCTCGGCATCGGCTTCTGCGGGCACTGGCGCTGTCGCCGGTTTGCACCATGGTAGCCCGTCCGTGGTCTTGACCGACGCTTCGAGAACTCTCCGTGTGAGTAATTTTGGTTTGGTTTTTGGCTCTTGGCTAGGATCTCAATGTTCGGGTTTGAATTTAATTGGGGGGAGCTGGACTGGAGCTGTCCACGACTCGCGATTTGGGGAGCTAAAATTTGTTGTTGCAAAAGTGCGACTGGATATTATAGGGCGATTTTCGTGCTTATAGTGAAGAGGGTTGCGTTGCTTTCCTGTTTTGCCTGCCCATTAGGAGAATGAATTGTGAATGTAGCTTCTCCCCATATTAGGATTAGGATACCAACTACACCTTTGAGTGTTGAATACGAGATCTGTGCTGTCTGTTATCCTATGAAGGGAGTGATTGATTATATGTCTTTTCCAAATTGAGTATTTTAAATTGAGCATAGTCAAAATTATCGTGCATTTCCATAACTTTGCCTTGTATTCTTTCATTGTCCTGTGTGTCACTGTAATGGAGGAACCAACTGAGATAGGGCGGGATTATTTAATGGGAATAAAATTTGACATGGAATGATGCATCTATCAAATTATTCTACAAGATGGGGCAATGACACCTGTTGCCGGTTACAGTGTGTAAATGCTTGAATTCCACAGTTTCCTTCTCAAGTTTGGTATAAAAGCTCACATTGTTAATTACTGGAAGATTATAGAATTGATATGTCGAGCTCCTTTTACTTTTCCCTTGATGATGGAAGAGCGTCTTCTGTCTTCTGTCATCTGATGAATGATGATAGTAAAGGAGTGAATAAAGAGCACTTGGAAAATGCTTAGCAAAATCTTCATTCCAATTGTTTGGTACTTTTACACAACATCGTTGTTGACATATGATGTGCTGCTTTGTCATCTGTTATGGAGGGAATTTTGATTCTAATTCTTCAATTCACTAATGGCAGGATTATTTGGCTTCCCCTGCAACCACTGATCTGGCATATTGTGTAGTTTTGGAACACACGATTGCTGAGAGAGAGCGCAGGTATTGCCGAATAAATAGAAATAGTTCTGAAAGTCTGTTAAATTTTGTGCTCAGTACGGCTTGGTGTGACATATCGATGGTGGTGTTGGGTTAGTTCACTGACTGGAAAAGAGCCTCGATTACATTATAAATAAGCCCTAGAGAAATGGCACAAGATGCTTAAAGTGCAGTTAACTTGAGTAGCCTAGCTGTTGGTTCCCACTTTTATAGAAACACCTGATGGGTGATGGTGTACTTAAATTTTAGAATTGCCGACTTGACTAGTTGCTACTATTTATTCCTATCCTGTTCAAGTCCCTTTAGCCCTTTCCAACTAAGTGGATGCTTCAAGGTCTACTGTGTGGCTTAATTGCCATTCTTGTGGCTTATCTCGTGCAATTGAGAATTCTACAAACATAATCATTTATCTTCTCCATGGCCACTGATGGGGTTGCTGGACTGGTTCTGCATGCTGTCTGTTGCATGTGGATGTCTTAAATGTGGACGACTGGTGTGGAACTATGGAGCTTGCTGTAATATGTTAGTTTCATAGTGAGGGGTGGTTCTGCTGTAGCACTGAGCCCCCCCCCCCCCCCCCCCCCCCCCCCCCCCCCCCCTTTGGAATTTAGTAGTTGTTCTGCTGTAGCATAGTAAGGGGTGGTTCTGAATGGAATGAGCAGTAATTAGAATAGATCTCAGTTGGGGAGGTTATGGATCTGTACCGCCAAATTATAATGAGCCATTTGCATACACCTCATTGGGACTGTTTTGCTAAAGGTGATCTAACTCATCATTGTTTGAAAGTAATATAATTATGTGTTGTTTAGTTCTACATGTATCTGCTCCAGCAGCCTTTTATTGGATTCTGTTACTGCTCTATCTACTCTCTTGTGATCTGTATTGCTCTTTCCCTACCTTTTGCCAAGCAAATTTACTGATGATGCTTATATGATGGATTGTGCCTTATACTGCTGATATGAACTTATTTCTTCCAGCCCAGCAGTAGTCGCGAGGTGTGTGGGACTTTTGAAGCGGTACCTTATAAGGTATTTTATTGGGTGAAGTTATTTTAAATGTACTATTCATGGGTCAACCAGTGAGTTAAATAAAGAGAGATGTTTGGATAAAAGAGTTATGATTCTACCGTGCAATAGGGTTCGCTCCTGAACATGGCCTCTGTCAAGTTCGGTTGCTTGATTGATCCCGCAACAAGAGACATAGGTCGGCAGTTGCTTTAGGCCCTGTAGGTAAAAGTTTCGGTAATGGTGCTAGGGCACTGCTTTTGGCCTTGAAATGGTAAATGAATGGCTCTAGTTAGATCGCTTCGGTATATTCAAACTAAGCAAGCATCAAGTCCTGAATATCACTTTGTGCATTTAACAGCTGATTGCTGTGATCCTGTTTTTTTTTTTTGGTAATTTATGTAGCATTTTGAATTATGTGACTTTCCTTGTGATAGATTATTCTTGCCTGGCAGGTATAAACCGAGTGAGGAGACATTACTTCAGATTGACCGATTTTGTGTGAATACAATCTCAGAGTGTGATAACAGTGCAAGTCGAAGATCCGCAATGTTATCACAGTCGACACCTCAGCAATCTGTTGCATCTGCACATAATCTGCCTTCTCTGCCTGTGTCTAGTTTTGCTTCCGGAGCGCTTGTAAAGTCGTTAAATTATGTACGTTCTCTAGTGGCTCAACATGTTCCAAAGAGGTCATTTCAACCGGCAGCATTTTCTGGGTCTCCATCTGCATCAAGACAGTCACTTCCTGCATTATCTTCATTTTTGCGTAAATCCTTTAACTCCCAATTAAGCCCTGCAAATAATGCTGAATCTTCAGACAACAGAGATGCAACTGGTTCGCCGGTTTCACAGTTTTCAAATATGGAAAAAGCTGATGTAATGGAGGACATTGATCACATTGCATATGATGTTTTAAACTGGCGTTGGGCTGGAGATCATCGGTTTTCAGTATTGTCCACTGAAAGGTGATACATGTCTTTTTATGCTGCCTTAATCTTACATGGCTATTATGTTGCTTAGTTGCTGCCCCTTATGAAATATAATGGTCTACCTGACGTGCTTGATGTAACTTCGGTGCATGTCAAAATGTGTGTAACACAGTGATCGTGCTTCCGTTCTTGAGGATATGCGCACACATACTTTGCTAGAGTTGGGTGCTGCAGCACTGCTAGTTGGAGACATGGAAGCTAAGATGAAGGATCAACCCTGGAAATATTTTGGAACTGCTGATATGCCCTATCTCGACCAACTCTTGCAGCCTTCTTCTGTCTCTACAATTACCATTTCAGCTTCTGCTCGTTCCCACTTACGAGCAATAACAACATCTAAGCGCTGTAAAGCAGGACCTCATCAGATTTGGTATGTGTCTTCTTCCTCTATTTATTTGTTTTGTATTTTGTATCTTTAGAGTTGGGATAAATTCGTTTGCCTATTATATACTCCGATTGAATGCAGATCAGGTTACTACATCCCGGTAGATTTTCTTATCATTTATCTGTTCCAGATTCAATATGGAAGCAGGGTGATAATTTGCGAGACTTAGTCAGTTAGTCTGGCAGGACCACTTGCGAGATCGAGACTAAATTGATTGACTTCATTATAAATCCAGAATGCTTTGTCATTTTGTTGTTACATATGCTCTTTCTGTTGGTTGTGTTGAGGCCACCTTGCAGTTTGGCTTTGTTTGGTCATTATTATCTGCTTCACCAGCTAGATTGAGGCTTCAAAATTCTAGCCCTTTGAGTAGTTATTGGGCAGCTTGATTGTGTGAGTGCTTTGTGTTAAACAACCTCAAATTTTGACACCTCAGGTCGGTTCCATTGGGGTTTTACTTAAAATAGGCTATAAAGGAGGTAAATAGACTACATTTTCTAATTTCTTTTATAAAAACAAGTTTTCAACAAACTAATCAACAACAGAAAATAACAAACTGACGTGAGTGAAGCACCTTGATTCAGTTCTCATAGGACATCCCTTATTAGATGAGCCAGAAACATTGATTCTAAGCTATTAACTATGAAGATTCAGATTAACAACAAAAGCCTTGGAGGTACAGTAAACAATTATTCACAAAAGCAGTCACAATGTATGTGAATGAAGGAAAATTGTTCATAGGAGGTTTCACATATTTATTGAAGTTTAATTGTCTCGTTTCTGGCACGTGGTGATTAATTTGGAGGTGGCTTCTCAGTGTTCAGTTCAATTCATGTTTTGTAGGGAAGATTCTCCTTTAAGCACTTTCCGCCCACGAGCTCGGCCACTTTTCCAGTACCGGCATTATAGGTAACAGAGAAGAGCATTTGTCTATTGGTGGAAACCCTGTTTTCTTTGACGATTTAAAATATATCCTATGCTACTCTCTTCTATGGCCACATCTTGAGAAATATATCCTTTGCTACTCTCTTCTATGGCCACATCTTGAGAAACATATCCTTTGCTTCTCTCTTCTATGGCCACATCTCGTGAATGATATCATTTTTCTCTGGACTACTTTTATCAGCACTTGCAATAACCAAAATGGTAGTAACTTTCTGGCACTTATTTGCTTCTCACTTGTGTATATCAGTGAACAGCAACCCTTACGATTAAATCCAGCAGAGGTATGTGAGGTTATTGCTGCTGTTGGGTCCGAGGCGTATACTCCAATGGCCACTCCTGCACTATCATCTAGATTAAGTAATAACACTGGAAAGCCATCGATGGATGTGGCTGTGAGCGTACTCATTAAGCTTGTCATTGATATGTAAGTTTTGATTAACTTATTTGTGATCATTACAATTTGGCATGTTATTGACTTGTGTTTTTCCCTTGTCAATGATCCTTTTCACAACCATACTCTCAAATGCTATTTATGAACAATGACTTGGCGTAACTATTTGGTGTCCCGCAGTTATGTTCCCCTGTGACTTGGGATTTATTGATAGTTATTTCTCTACAATAGGTAGATAGATTGCTTAATTAGCCTGCCAGGAAGAAGGAAGGGAGTAAGATGAGAGGGAAAAGTGTAAGAAGAGAAACTAGTAAACAAAAAAAAAAAAGTATCTGGAGGAACAATAGCTTATGACGAAGTAAAGTTACCAGGTAGGGTAGTCAAATTTGTATATCCAGCAGCGGCTGTAGAATAAGTGAATATAAGGTGAACATTTTGTTGTGGAAGATCACGTGTGGCATGAATCATCTGTAAATATTGGTGCTCTGAGATCTTAAAATAACTTCTCCTCCTTGCGATTAGCATTGAGCTTGTACGTATATGGTAGCTTATTGGAATCTTAATAAACAAGTCTCCTGGAGATCTGATGTTTCTGATGAGTTTACTGGCCATTCCTTTGTATTCGGAATTGTGGCAGACTGCTGATATTGGCTGGTTGTGTGTCCTTGCTTTTATCCTGTTTAGTCAATTCCCAAAATTCATTCAAGTAACAAACCTTTTTACTGGGTATTGAATGTCGGTTGGGTTTTCTGGGCGGTTAGAGCTCCCATTAAGTTTCCTGGTAGATTATCGGATACTTTTGTCTGTCATTTACTATGTCTATGTATTACTACATACAGTACGTTCCCCTTGAATGGATGGAAAGCAGTGTTAAGTGTTAACTATTGGGTTTTAGGTGTCTAAACTTGGGTAAGCATGAGACTTTATGTGTCCTGTTGAGCTACTGTCTGATGCTGTATCCAGAGTTGCTGAACATTGATCAATGATATCAGATCCATGGCAATTGGCTAACAACTTCTTTATGCCGACAACTTTTGCAAAACTTGTTTAATTATAAGAAGGAAATAATTTAAGTCTAGGGACTCTTACATGTTTCGACTTGTTAAGTGTGCTTATCCTCTTCTGATTCGCATTATGTCTTGCTATATTGAATGCTTTCTCTTAGCTCATGCTGCTTCTTTAAGAAATTACTGAATTGTTGCCCTGCAGGTATGTGGTGGATTCTGGGACTGCTGCTCCACTGACGTTGTCTATGCTTGGGGTGCGATATTAACTCGTTCTTATCCTTCTTGTAGTTATACCTGGTGAAGGCTTCTAACATTTCATCTTGGGATATTCTTCCAGGAGATGCTTTCATCTCCAAAAGCAGCATGCCGAGTGCGTGCTTTTGATTTGATTTTGAACCTCGGTGTTCATGCTCATTTATTGGAACCAATGATGGCCACCACAACAATTGAAGAAGAGTATGCACAAGAATCCTTTCTCGAGAATGAAGAAAAAGTTGGAACACCAGATAGGAGGAAAGCAGAGTCTGTTGACAAGATGGATGCTTCATCAGCTATTGATAAGTTCGAATCTTGGATCTTAAACATCTTCTATGAGACACTTTTGCTTCTTGTCCAGGTACCATTCAAGTTACTGTCATGGTCTAGCTTTCTTGAAACTTATAATTCTTGCCACCAACTATTGAGATGTTCTGATTACCTTTCTATCAGAAACTGAGATTTCACTTACGAAACATGATAAAAGTTTTTTATGTGATTTGGTCAGCGTTGGACTAGATAGACTTGTAAAATAAATAGATTTTCCTGGTAGATATCCAGGGACCAGAAATATGAAACGTTGAATGATAGTGTTGTATGCTAATACTTCATGTAATTCATAATTGTTAATGTCAGTTTGCATTTCTTTCATTTTTTTCCTGAGACCTGCAGTTCCTTATATCCTCTACCATTCTTTTATTTTGTTTTTTATAAATGAATCCTCTACCATTCACTGTGTAATTTTTTTCTGCAGACAGAGGAGCAGGAAGAGTCTGTCTGGGCTTCTGCACTAAGCTGTTTGCTGTACTTCGTCTGTGATAGAGGGAAAATTTTGAGAAATCGGCTTGAAGGCCTGGATATAAGGGTACGGGTTTCCTTCTTGCTTCCAAGTTTGTTTGGTATCATAGAGTACCCTATCTATTTTTTAAAATCCTTCTGCAAGATTTTATGCCTCTTTATCGAAGGGCAAGAACCAATTTTTTGTTTTTATGGTCACAGATGTTTGTTGTAAGCATATCTGGAAAAATGGGACAGACAATGACTATTAACAGCTAACTAGTACCTTGACCATATTAAAAGAACAGCTTACTAGAAGCTATACTGGCAATATTAATCCCTTATCCCTATCTGGGATGAAGCTCTGAGGTGTTTCATTTACCCTATACAACCAGCAATAATTGTAAATTGCTTCTCCCATCTTTAGCCAAAGAAAAGTAAACAAATCCCCGGCAGTGGTAGGATTTTGAACATAGTTTCAAACAAAATTATCATGATGTTCTCCCTGGGAATGTGTAAGTGTTTCAGAATAAAAGGGCAGCTCCCTAAAATAAAGTAAGAAATGCTCCCTACCAGATTGTATGACTGGCTTTTTTTTTTACGACGTGAACTGGTTTAAAGGGCTTTGACATTATGTTTTTCCTATGTAGGAGATCATAGGTCAAAATAATCAACTTATACAGAAAAAGGGTTGGCTAAAATGAAAGTCAAGCGCTGTCAAATGACCGACAACAGATGCATTTTTAGTTTTCTTTCTTTTATGTTTTTCCTTTGTTTCTTATCTTTATCCAGCTAGGCTGGTTCATCTTACTTGTTCTAGCATTTCGACTGTTCCTAGTATAATGCTGAGATCTGCAATATGTCTTCTGCCCAGGTCATTAAAGCACTCATAACGACCAGCAGGAGAAATTCATGGGCTGAAATAGTGCACAGCAAGCTTATTGGCATGTTAACGAACATGTTCTATCAAATTCCAGATGAGCCTGTTGAGGCTGTCTTGAGGTCTCCTGTGTTTCTCATAGACCAGGTTGATTTAATTGGAGGGATTGAGTTCATTTTCATTGAGGTATGCGATCTGTATGTTGCGAACTCGAAATACAATGGAAGATAATCTAGTGACACAAGCGGTATCCTTAACCTTCGAGAATTTTCTTGTTTTGCAGTATTCTCTTGCCAATTTGAGGGAGGATAGAAGAAACCTCTATTTGGTTCTTTTTGATTATGTTTTGCACCAAATCAATCATGCATGTGCAACTGCTGGAGTTTCAGAGTATAGCAGTGACGAGATCCAACCTCTTGCAACCTTATTTTCTCTTGTTGATGCACCTGAAGCTTTCTATATTTCGGTTAAACTTGGGGTAGAAGGGATTGCAGAGCTTCTGAGAAGATCAATTTCTACCGCGCTCTCTAGATATTCAAACAATGAAAGGTTAAATATGGTAAGCTTGGTGAAGTTCATATGACTGTTTGGGTCTGCATTCTATGCTTCTAGTATGTGCTGTGGATTATTGTCTAGGATTTATTGTGCATATATACACATATATTTATACTTTTCGGGTACCCTATACAAAATTTTAATCCTTTTTGATATTCCATAATTTTAATCCTTTCATTTGTTAAAAAGGAAATTTTACTATCAATTGTTTATTGATAACAAGAAAATTATGCAATACGTCAAAACGGTTTACCATTTACTTTTAGAGTTTTGACAATTATATTACAGTTCTTAGTTTCCCTCTTATATGTCTTATCTTTTAATCATTAGGAATATATTGATGAACGAAAGTACTCTGATTCAAGTTAAACTTTCTGTTTTTATCATTATATATTGGACCATTGATAGAGATTAAATTTTAAAATTTGATTTTACAGTCTCATTATAGACTAGAGGGTGTTATATGCACTTTATTAGAATATTCCTTTGCTACATGGCCTGGCCCATGTAGAAATGGTTTGTTAAGTTCGTAACTGTCTCCATCTGATTGTGGCCCTTCACTTGTGTGTTGTCATCCTCTCCTTATTTGCAACCAAAAGTTCTCTTCCCGCCTTCATTTCCATGCATTCCTTATTTTCACTTTGATATTCAGTATCTGTTTTGATTGATTCCACAGTAGAACTTAGTATATGGAAATTCAATGAATTGAGAGTCGTTCAGATTACCTGAAATAATACTCTCCATTTTAAGTGAGTTTTCATTTTTGCAGCTCTTGAAGAATATAACAGAAACATTTGATATGGTAATCAGTTCTTTTACTCGTGTTGACAAGGAGTTCTTCCATCTCATACAATTAACCAAGCGCGACAAATTTCTAGAAGGGATTCAAAGTGAGAGCCCACGAAATGGCATTGTCGTGAAAGCTAAGCTCTCATGGGCCACACTGCACTCACTTCTTCATTCTGATAGAATCGCATGTCGTCAGAATGGCTACATCTGGTTAGGCGACTTGCTTATTTCAGAGATTAGCGAGGGAGGAGAGGTCAGAATGTGGTCAAATATTAATGCCTTGCAGCAGAAAATCACGCTTGCTGGTGTCTGCGATGATATGGCAGCTGCTGAAGATGTCCCTCTGTCCATTTGGCTGATGTGCGGACTTCTTAAATCCAAACATAACGTTATTAGATGGGGTTTTCTCTTTGTTCTCGATCGATTTCTCATGAGCTGCAAATTTTTGCTGGATGAAAATGAAATGCAACAGTCTGGTGTTGGTAACATTTCCCGTGGAGATGCAGATAGCCGGCTTGAGAAAGCAAATGCAGTTGTCGATATCATGAGCAGTGCCTTATCCTTGGTGGCCCAGATTAATGAAACGGATCGCTTCAACATTTTGAAGGTACATTTTCAATCAACATATAGTAGGTGTTAGATTCCTTATGTCTATTGATGTTGGCTTGTGTTTCAACCTTCTGGATATGTATCAAGTTGTTGTATGCATATCTCCTCTGTTATCTTCTTCAAAATTATTATGCCTCAGATGCCTAGGAGGTCCAGAGATGCCATCCTCTACTGAACATGGCTCCGATAAATAATGATGTTGTGTATACTAAGTCTTTGCTATTCGTTCTGTAGTAACAGTTGGTGAAAGTAGAGTTAGATCACTTAGACTATTCTCTGCAACTAATTTGGTGGATTGCAAGCGTCCTTCTTTGACAGCCAAGTCTAAAATTCATATTGCTTTGAGTGTTGCTATATGATAATGGTTATTGATGGTTACTTATCTTGTCTGTGCAGATGTGTGAAATATTGTTTTCTCAATTATGCCTAAAAGTTCACCCTATGTCTGCCATGCCATATGGAGAAAGTGTACGCAGTGACATAGTTCATGTTGGCATGGATAAAAGTGAAAAAGTCGATTCAAATGACCACCTTTCCCAACTAGATAATCACTCGACAGATATTTCAGAGGAAAGGAATAGCAGATTCAGTTACAGTACTAGCAGTTCTTTGGTGCGTGAGACAGCTTCACTGGCTGCAATGCTTCTCCAAGGGCGGGCTATTGTTCCCATGCAGTTAGTTGCCCGGGTTCCTGCTGCTTTATTTTATTGGCCATTGATTCAACTAGCTGGTGCGGCTACAGATGATATAGCACTGGGTGTTGCAGTTGGAAGCAAAGGAAGAGGAAACCTTCCTGGCGCTGCATCTGACATAAGGGCTACACTTTTATTGCTTTTAATTGGTAAATGCACAGTCGATCCTTCTGCTTTCATAGAAGTTGGCGGGGAAGAATTTTTCAGGTAAAGACATACTTTAAAACTCCAGATCTGGATTCTACCCGTTATATTGGTTGAGCTATATACCCAGCATTTTCTGCTTCTGTCATTTGCCAGGGAACTTTTGGATGATACGGATTCAAGGGTTGCATATTACTCTTCGGCCTTTCTCCTGAAGGTACTACTGTTCCTTTGCCAACGTTAAACTTGTTTTTGTTTTAGCGTTCTCAGAAAATAAGCTTGTTTTTGTTTTAGTGTGTTTAAAGTTGGTAAAATCAGAGTTGATTAGGTATGAGATATTTTTCGTAGTGGGAAAGAAGTAATTGACGAGATAGTAGATAGTTTGTTTAATAGTAGACAGGAGTTGATTTTCGGATATGACCATTATGTGGATTTTGGCAAAATTAGAAATGAAATTTTAATATTGAGGTGGCATACTTCGGGGTTTAGGGTGGTTGATTTTTCTAAAAAGTTAAGTGAAAGAGAAGTATGTTATGCTTAAGTTTGAGGAACAGAAACTTTTGATAAAACAAACACACCCAATTGAAATGCTGGGATCATGTTGTGTTGATTGGGATCATGTTGTGTTGATTCAAACTAACATGCTTTCTCGATTTGTCAGAGAATGATGACAGGAAAACCAGATGAGTACCAGCACATGCTTCAGAATCTTATATTTAAAGCACAACAGGTAAAGTGTTCTCCATAAATTTTGCTACGTAACTAATGGAGAAATGAACTTATCAGTTGGCTTTCCTTTTATCCCATTTTCAGAGCAACAATGAGAAGCTGTTGGAAAATCCCTACTTGCAGATGCGTGGCATACTTCATCTGTCAAATTATGGGGTAATCTAATGGTATTCTTTATGGACCTTCTGTTCATTTTTATTCTTGGGGAGAGCAGTTCTGCAGTAGTAGCTGGATGCTCAATGATGTTGATGATACTTCCAAAAAGCTTGGCCCATCGAGATCTGCTCGAAGTTTCGGAGGATAAAAGTGAATTGTGCTCAGCCTTATTCGACAATACAGTCTGAGATCTGTCCCTGGTACTTTTTTTCTCTTCCCCCTGCTAAAACTTGAAAAGACGGCATTGGTGCAAAACAAGTAGGCCATTGCAATGGATTATTGTTGCAGCAGCAGCAGCATAGGTCTTCCTGCAAAGATGAATTCCCTTCCGTTCCTCCCTGACTTGGGAGTTAGTGGGTGTAGATGATAAGCCTATTTTTCCAAGATTCCATGGCTGTACACTAGGTACTCCCTTTGTCATACGAAAGCCTTCAAAACGGAGAATGGGTTGGAAGCGACTGTTGCAAGATAACCTGAAATGCTCCCGTCACTCCGAATTGCCATTTAATGTTGCAGACTCAGGACATTCAAAAACCATTTCCAGGTATGCCCCATGCATCTGGGCCATTTATCCTAACCTTCATGTTTCTGTCTTTGCCGTAACAGGCATTCGATTGATGTTTATGTGCCATGCCGTGACATGCATTCTTTCTTTTGCAGTTTCCGGTGTGCAATGTTTATAGACAGAGGCCAACTTTCTGGGCAAAACTGATCTGTACAGAAACCCTATTCCTGCTGGCTTTTCATATTTTCAGAAAAGTCACAGACGGGGAAGGGCAAGCTTATTCGTGCTGGCTTTATTTTTAAAACAGCCACCCATTGCCATATGATAATAAGAACCCACACCTCTAATCCCTTTTTTGATCTCAGAGAGGTTTTTCCAACTGAGGGGCAAACCTCAAAGCAACAATGGTGGTAACCTGTAACATCATCATCTTCCATAGTGTGCCTGCCGGGTATGTTCTTTTTGTTTACCTTGATTGTTCTTGTCCCCTGTATTTTATTTATTGTTGGACACTGTAAATATTCTAGTGCGATTTTGTTGTATGATATCTCCGTCGAGAAATTTTTTGTTCTTTGGTATCGAAATGTAATGTTTTGGATGCAATGAGAGGTGATTTTGAATAGCGAGATCATTTTGGGTTCGTGGTTGACCACCTGTTGTACTGGGAGTATTTTACAATCTCAAATAAGGAGCTTTCTGTTACTTCTGTTGCGAGAGTGGCAAAAGTTCATGACTTGCCCTAGAAGCCGGAATCCAGGCAGTAACTTAGCACCACAGGAAGCAACACAGCCGCCGTGGAGGGCGTATTTCACTCCTCGCTACTGGAATCGTCCCAGAACCTCTTCGACCACCTTTCGCCACAGGCTTCAGCGTGGTCTGTGGGCACGGTGGAGAACACGTATGTGCTTCAGCCTGTGTTCTCTCCGAAAGTTGTCTCGAATTGGATCGTTATTCGTTCGTCCAAGTTGAATGCCAACTGCAGAAGGAAACTAACAATTCTTCACTAAATCTCATCATTTCAAAGACATCGGCAAAGCAGATTAATTGCAAGAAACGTAGAAGCTCAAAGGAAAACTTTCGAATAATAGGGACTAGAAAGAGATGTAACGAATTAGAGTATTAGACTTCGGTGCAAAGAATTAAAAGTTATGGAGTTAATTGTAATTGGTGGTGGAGGGACTATATGAGGGATTTACCATTAAGCGGTTGCATAATATCAGTTGAATATTTAAATTGATAAATTCCCTCTTTCATCTTTCTTCCTTGGAACCTTCCCCACCCCCATTCCTCATCAATTTCCTTGGGCCAGTTGTGACCAGAGACTTCGTGGTTTGAAGCTCCCTGAATCACTTTCCGTCTGTTGCCACTCTGCAAGCCTACAGCTCAAAATCCCAGTCAGTGGTCCAATTTAGCCGCCCTGAAAAAGGGGATCAGTCTGTCTCCGGGGAGGAGACTTGGAGTTGGAGATTCTGGTAAAGCTCTGAGCTTTATCACGCTGTTACTTACCGGAAAGCCATCGGCGTTCAGAGGGTAAGAAATTGTACCGCAGCGAATTTGCCGCTGCTGATGAAGCTTTTCAGGCAGCTGCTTCCGGGCCGATTGGCCTGTGATAGCGCCATTAAGCGATTTACAGGTAATCCTCCCTCCAAGTGGACTCGCTGTCGAAGGGTTCTGCTCCTTTACCACGATTCATCTGTTAATGGCGCTTCTTTTCAAGAAACTCAATGGCCGTTTTGTGCAAATCAATTTCGCATTTCCCCTTTTTGTTTTTTTGATGACGGTAGCTTTTTCGCTATCACATTGGCAGGGTCTTCTTTCCGTTTCCTCCATTCTTCTGCTGATGGGTTTGTCGAAGTTCACTCTCCAGAACACGAAATTGTGATTGCTTTGGGAAGTAATGTTGGTGACAGGGTTCGTAATTTCAATGAAGCATTGCAAATGATGAAGAAATCTGGAATAAGCATCACTAGACACGGGTGTCTCTACGAGACTGCGCCTGCTTATGTCACTGACCAGCCTCGTTTCCTCAACTCTGCAGTTAGAGCTATCACCAAGCTTGGGCCACACGAGTTGCTGGGAGTGCTGAAGAAGATCGAGAAGGAGATGGGTCGAACGAAAGGGATAAGGTACGGACCAAGGCCAATAGATTTGGACATTCTGTTCTATGGCAAGTTTAGGGTTAATTCTGATGTACTTACCGTACCTCATCAGAGAATTTTTGAAAGACCATTCGTAATGGCCCCACTGATTGATTTGTTGGGTTCTGATGTGGAGAGTGATACAGTTTCTTCGTGGCATTCCATGTCAGTACCTTCTGGTGGGTTGTTTGAGTCATGGAAGAAACTTGGTGGTGAAGGGCTCATTGGGAGAGATGGGATGAAGAGGGTTTTGCCTGTTGGGAAAACCTTGTGGGATTGGTCTGAGAGAACTTCTGTTATGGGTGTGGTTAATTTGACACCTGATAGTTTCAGTGACGGAGGGAAGTTTGCGTCTGTGGATGCTGTTGTTTCTCAGGTAAAATCATTGATCTCTGAAGGGGTGGATATTGTTGATTTCGGTCCACAATCGACTAGGCCAATGGCTGAAAGGATATCTACTCAGGAGGAACTCGACAGGCTAATTCCTGTCCTGGAAGCTGTTTCGAAGATGCCTGAGATGACTGGGAAGCTCATATCGGTAGATACTTTCTACTCCGAGGTGGCTTCAGAAGCCATCAGTAAGGGAGCTCATATTGTAAATGATGTATCTGGTGGCCAGTTAGATGCCAACATGAATAAGGTAGTTGCTGACCTTGGTGTTCCTTACGTTGTGATGCACATGAGAGGCGATCCTACCACGATGCAGAATAGTGAGAACCTGGAGTATGGCGATGATGTTTGCGGACAGGTTGGTCGTGAACTGTACTCTCGAATCGCGGATGCAGAACTGTCTGGTGTCCCAGCATGGAGGATCATTACTGACCCTGGAATTGGATTCTCGAAGAATACCACGCATAATCTGGAGTTACTCATGGGATTGCCAAAGATTAGAGCAGAACTAGCCAGGAAAAGCGTGGCCATCTCTCATGCTCCATTGTTGATTGGGCCTTCCAGAAAGAGGTTCTTGGGCGACATTTGCAGCCGGCCTTCTGCTACCGACAGAGATCCTGCTACTGTTGCTTCCATCACTGCTGGAGTTTTGGGTGGTGCGAACATCGTGAGGGTGCATAATGTACGAGATAACGTGGATGCTGCCAAGCTTTGTGATGCCATGCTGAAATGCCAGAGATAAGAGATTTAGTACTGCATGTTCTCGTGGTGAGAGCAACCTAACACGCTTCTGCGAGTCTCATCTCTGGGAGAACCACTGTGGCCTCCACCGGTTCAGTCGTGCAGTCGAATCACGACGGACGTGGAATGTAATGCTGAACCACTGAGGTAGATGTCTCAGCCATTCCTATTGTGTTTGAACAATAGCAATGGAGATTTGAACAATAGGAATGAAAGCAGTCACTGATGGAGATTTGAACAAGTTGAATGTACGGTTAGGTTGTTTGGCTCAGAAATAACCGTAGTTGATTCATATTGTGTTTGCTCTTCAGATTTGTTCAATGGTTAGACAACCAATTCGCCTTCCGCTTTTACTGTATCAATGAATTTATATGGCTTTTGAGTTTCTCATGTTTTTTTAGTAAATTGTTCGGTTGAGGACTTGAGGTAGGTAGGAGTGTTCAAATAATTACCAAGATAATTATCAAATTAAAAAATTTAAAATTCTATTAATTATGAAATATAATATTATAATTAAACCGTTCAAATTAAAAAAATAATAAAATTAACCAAACAAAAATTTAACTGGTTTGGTTAATTGGTTAATCAAATTAACCAATATAAACATCACATTATCATTAAGTGAATTTTTCCTCGGTTAATGTATCAATTCACAATTTATATGATGAATAAAACATTACACTATATGGTGATTAGGGATGGCAATGGGTAGGGTCGGGTGCGGGTTTACCCTATACCAACTCCTAACCCGCCGGGTAGAGCCTTCTAAAATACCCGATCAAATAACCACCGGATATGAAAATTATATAACCATACCCTACCCACCGGGTAACCACGGGTATTCGGGTAACCATGGATACGAATCCTAAACTATGAACTTATACACATATATGCACATACATATTGTTGTCCATTAAAAATTCTCAATACTTCTAATTGTTCTAGCTTCAACAACCCACACAAATAAAAACAACAAAAACATAATAATTGTTCTTGCTTCTACAATCCACACAAACATAATAATCGTCTACATCTTCATCATCAATAATGGTAGCTAAACTAAATTTCTCAAGCTAAACTAAATTTCTCAAGGGAAATTGACCATTTGGTTAGCGGGGCGGGTATAACGGGGCGGGTATTATCGATTACCATACCCGTACCCGCCCCTTAACCCGTCAAAACGGGTAATTACCCTCGTTGACCGATTACGGTCAGGTAGGATACCCATGATTACGGGTTGGATTGACATCCCTAATGGTGATGACTGGTGTACGTCAGGTGTATAGTATACGTCAGGTTGTCTAGCCGTTAGATGTGGTTAGATGAGCTCCGGCCGATCTCAACGGTCCATTTTTGTTTTTCATTAAATCAAACTTCGGGTTATGGTTTAGAAAATCGGTGCCTGGGGTTTATCCATTAGAGGTTAGGGTATAGTATCATACCCCAAACTCGATTTAATTCATGGTCTAGATAGAGATATCTCACTAGTAGTACCTGACGTATAGTATACGCCTGACGTACACTAGTCTGACCCTACACTATATATGTGAAAATATATGTCAATAGTATAGAGTTAATTAATTGTTGTGATTGTGATAATTGAATCAGTGTCTTAGCAATTGCAATAGGATGAAAAAGATATTCATTTCAATTTTCATCTAATATGTTGTATGAGTTTTTATCTAAATTGGGCATTCATATATCATGGTCTACACTTTATAAATACAAAAAATACAATATATGAACAATATTAAACTTTATTCTTGATGAGTCTAAATGGAAGGAATGTTTGGCTCTTGAGTGGTTATGTCAAGTATTAAGTATATGTATATAATATATATTATATTTATTGGTAATTACTTAACTAGTTAATTTGGTTTGATTGGTTAGGAGTGTCTAAAACCAACCAAACTACCTGAACCAAACAAGCTAAATTTTTTAACCAAACTAAACCAACTATCTAAATTAACCAAACCAAATTAGCCAAATACTATCGGTTAATACGGTTGCCACAGTAACCACATGGTTTAAACACCCCTAGAGCCTAGAAGTAGGGAGGATAATTTCGATCAGATTTGTTTTGTCTAACATGTCTGGCTTATTTTAAGACGAGTATAGGTGGGGGGCATAACGAGTATGAGTATCTCCTCGATTTGACTCGTTCTATTCTTGACTCATTTTTTTATTAAATTATATTGTATTGTACACAAATTAACTGAAGTTTTATTTTTATTGTCTCATAGACTCAAATTTCAATTTCTCAAATAATCTAATTAAATTTATCACGCTATAATAAATTTCTTGATTGTTTAATGAAAATAAATACGAATATTTATACTATTCCCTTTTATTTTATATATTAAAAATGAATATGAATATCAAAATATTTCTAACATTGCGATAATCTAATTACATATATATATAAAATTATTTAAACAAAGAATAAAGCAAGATAATCAAATTCCGTAGTCTAGTAGGAGGAGAAGGAAAGCAAAATTCCCCGCCCCCAAAACCTATATAACGCATTCCCACTAGTACGGAGTTGCCAGATTCACCGGTATTCTCTATCGCCGTCTTTCTTGCGCCCTAAGTTTACAGCAACAATGGTGAAGCTGGAGAACGAAACCAGCGATGACGTAGTGATCGGAATCGACCTTGGGACGACCTATTCATGCGTCGCCGTCTCCCGCTACGGCAAGACGGAAATCATAGCAAACGACCAGGGAAACCGCACCACCCCTTCCTCCGTCGCCTTCACCGCCGCCCCCAACCCCGAGCGCCTCATCGGCGACGCCGCCAAGAATCAGGCCGCTCTCAACCCTCGCCGCACAATCTTCGACGCCAAGCGCCTGATCGGGAAGAAATTCGACGATCCGGAGGTCCAGAGCGACATCAAATTCCTGCCCTACCCTGTCGTCAACAGAGACGGCAAACCCTACGTCGAGGTAGAGTTTAATTCCGCCCCCAAAGAGGTCAAATCGTTCAGCCCCGAGGAAATCAGCGCCATGATTTTGGGGAAGATGAAGGAAACCGCTGAATCGTACCTCGGGAATCCAGTTACCGGCGCCGTCATCACTGTGCCTGCCTACTTCAACGACGCGCAGAGGCAGTCCACGAAGGACGCCGGGAGAATCGCGGGGCTCAACGTCCTCAGGATCGTCAACGAGCCGACCGCGGCGGCGATCGCCTACGGTATGAACCACCAAAACCCTCTGAAGAGGAAGGCGGACTCACAAAAGGGTAAGATTCTGGTCTACGATTTGGGGGGCGGGACGTTTGACGTCAGCGTGCTGGAACTAGACGGCAGGGAGTTCTGTGTGCTGGCGAGCGGCGGAGACACTCATCTCGGAGGTGGAGATTTCGACCAGAGAGTGATGGCGTATTTCATCAATTTGATCAAGAGGAAGCACGATAGGGACATTGGAGAGGACAGCAAGGCTCTGGGGAAGCTGCGGAAGGAATGCGAGAGGGCGAAGAGGGTTTTGAGCAGCCAGAGCGAGACGAGGGTCGAGATCGATTCCCTTTCTCTGGGGCTCGATTTCTCGGAGCCACTGACCAGAGCGAAGTTCGAGGAGCTGAATCTGGACCTGTTCAAGAAGACGCTGGAGCTGGTGGATGCGACATTGCTGGATGCGAAGCTCGAGAAGGGGGAGATCGACGAGATCGTGTTGGTGGGAGGAAGCACCAGGATCGTGAGGCTGAGGGAGATGCTGAAGGAGATGTTCAACGGGAAGGAGCCCAACAAAGGAGTGAACCCTGACGAAGCTGTGGCTTATGGTGCTGCCATGTTAGGAGCCAAGCTGAGTGGACTAGCTACTAGATACGGTAATGCCAATTTCTCAATCAATTGTCATCGTTGTGTTATCTCCTCCAGTGGTCACAGTTGTTTACACATTTGGAACTACATTCTTGCATACAGATGGTATTGCTCTGTTCGACGTAACTCCCTTGAGTTTGGGGGTTAGCGTTTTAGGTGATCAGATGCTGACTGTGATCCCAAGAAACACTACGATTCCGGCAAAGATGCCAAAGACTTTGGTGACTACAGTGGACCGGCAGACCATTATGAGCTTTAAGGTACATGTATCCTGCATTTTGGAGCAAAGTTGATATCTTAATCGAATTGGATCACATCTTGAGTATATTAAAACTTGCTATGAAAAAACATTCTCAGATCCTCCAAGGTGAAAGAACTCTAGCCAAGGACTGCCTTCAGCTTGGAAGTTGTACTGTTCGCGGCATTCCACCGGCTCCAAGGTGATGTGCAATAATGATTAGGCTGCTTGTAGTTTGTTGTCATCATTTGAAACAACTTGTTTCAATGAACAAACCTTAATTACATTGAAAAAAAACTATTTGTTACAGGGATGTTGCTCAATTGGAGGTCACGTTTGAGGTCAATGCAGATGGAATACTAAGTGTAGTTAGTCTAAACAAAGCGACAAGGGAATCTCAAACCTTGGTCTTTGACGATTACAAAGGGAATTTGACAAAGGAAGAAGTCGAGAAGATGATAAGGGTGGCAGCGGAGATGGCTGAGGAAGACAAAAAGGCGAAAGAGCGTATTGAAGCGAGGAACCGCTTGGAGAGGTACATATATGATGTCAAGCACGCTGTGGGCCATGTTAACGTCTGTTGGGATCAACGTGACAAGACCAACGTAGAGATTGCATTGAGAGAAGCTTCAGACTGGTTTGATGGAAATGGGAGGAATCCATTGTCGTCCAAGGAAGATTTCGAGAGGACGATGAAGAAGCTGGAAGATGTATGGAATCCGATTATAAAAAAGGTTTATATTTTGATTGATGACTGACACGGAGATGGATCAAAACATGGTAAGCTAGTGGTTGTCGCATTGCTTGTTATAGTCGTCAAGTAGTGTTTGATTTAGTCATGGTTTGTTTATGTAATCTTGTTTATTGTAACCCAGACTATAATAAGCAAGGTTAATTTCGCGGTCATATTGCTCAACTGTCGTTTTCTTAGTTTTGGTTTTAATTGACGTGTGATTAGTTTTTCTATTTTACTTGTGGAAATTTCGGGTGAGCTAGTTTGTTTGGTTGAGAAGTTTTACTTGATTCATTTTGTTCTTGGTATTAATCAACCTGATAATCTCCAGCGAAGATGATCATCAATGGTATTATGATTTAAATTTTGGATAGTGTCGGATACTAATTATGGTTTGATAGGCGAAGTAACGTCAGCTAGTCGAAAGAATGTGGACATATTCAATTATTCATGTTGTAACATATACATCTTGTATTTTACCAACTACACAAGGCAAGAAGAAAACAACAAACAAGATATCCGCAGCAATAGTAAGGCGTTGCTGTTCAAGAATGCCAGAGGGAGCAAGCAGAGATGCAAAATTGCCACTCCCTCCACATCTTTTTACCCTGCTCGTTACTATATATCAACAAGTAATCAAACTGTGCAGTAATAATGTTCTTCCCCGTCAAAAATATATCCCCAGTGTGGTATAATCTGCTTTGCTCATTCGATCTGCAGTTCTGCACGGCTCCAGATTGATAAAGGTTCAACTATGCATCTAGTTCTTCAGCAGTCAACTTCTTACCCCATACAATTTCTTCCCCCTGGACTTGAACTTGGCATTGAGCTCCGCCTGGCCCTTTGTCTTTCCCAAATGAATCGCCGCCATGAGCAGGTCTCCTCCCTCTGAAGCTTTCTCCACCACCACTGAGGTAATAACAGCAGAAAGAAATGGGGGGGAAAAAAACAAGGAAAGCTTCACCACTGAGGTAATTCACAGTGCCATTGTCTTCAGTACTTGGCACCTAATTGTGGAATGTAGAGGGGACTATGGGAGACCAAGGAAAGCTTTGCCCTTTTACCTCTTGAAGTTGAAGGGAAGATTAGGCCTTCTCGTGTTGCCAGTAGCTGCAGGAGCTCGAAGAGGAGTGGGAGGCAGAACTTTTACCCCTATCAGCTCAATCCGTAGTGGCCTCCCGTCAAGATCGACATTGTCGTACCTCATTATAGCTGCTAAAGCATCCCCGTAGCGTTCATACACAACTTCAGCAGTTCCCTACCACCACCACCACAGAGATAATAGTAATGCAGGTAGAGTTGCTACTAAAACACTGGAGGACTAGCCCTGGGGTAGGACTTAGGAGGAAGGTTACCTTAGGTCTTCCACTCTCGTCACAGTGAATTGAGTAACGTTTTAACTTCCCAACCTCAGAGAAAAGCACCTGCAACGAATCAACAATGGTTCCAAACCCAGAAATGATTAAGCCACATGACAGAACAGCAAGATCAGTTGAGCAAGAATGGTCTTCATACAGCACAAAAAAAGCCCACGATGGTAACAGTAACTACGCATAAGTCACAGGACGGACGAAGCAGGTCAATGGTTTACAAGGGACTTCGAAGCTTCAATTATCTCCAAGAATCCCCAAGATCAACAAGAAATTCGTGTATCAAAATCTCACCGCCATTCTTTCCAGTAATAAAAGAAGCAATCCATTGAAAGAGGGAACCAAGAAACGCAGTTTGATTACCTTAATGTCCTGACTAGTAACCCCATAATCCAGATTGGACACGTAGAGCCTCGTGCCTTTTCCTCTTCCATCAGCCGGGACGAGCATTGGCTCAACCAGCTCCATTGAAGCCTGCAAAAAATTTCGATGGAAGAACTTAATCCATTAACTGAAAACCAACTCCATAACCTATACTGTTACTAATCCAATTTTCTCCTCCATTACGATTACCTTCCCGAAGAAATTCCTCGTCGCCGGTACCGACGGCAGTAAGTAAGGGCTGGGCCCGAGAATGCCGCGGCCGCCGAACCGCCGATTTGGACCGTCTCCGTCACCGATATGAAGCGGCAGCCCTTCTCCTCCTCCTTCTCTGCCGCCGCGTCCGTCGCCTCTGCTTCTACCTCCTCCTTTTCCTCTGCTTCCGGAACGGCCTTTTCCTCTGCTTCTGTTCTGGCGGACAATGTCGTCGAGATTCATGTCCAGAGAGCTCGCCATTTCTGAAAATCTTGAACCAGACCTCTTTCGGAACTTCTCTTCTTTCCTCTTTTCTTATTTCCTCCCAATTTTGACACTGACAGGTAGCCTTGAAGACTTGCAGGGTTTATTTAGCTCTGCTGCAGAAATGCAGGGGTTTTGATTTTGCAGCACAGAACTTGCGGGAGAAGCTTTCTCTCTCATGCGAGTACAAGGTGACACGTGTAATTAGTTATTTCTCCCTGGCTTAATTGCAAGTTTGGTCACTCGAATTGCAATAAAATTTCACGTTTGCCACTCAAATTAATTTATTCCATTTATAGTCACTCGAACTAGTTGAACAGTTCAAGTTTGGTCACTCTCCGTTAACCTTCGTTAACTTTAACTGACGTGGCGGTCAACTCTGACAGTTGACCGTTAAATGTGTGACGTGGAAAATAAAAAATAATTAAAAAATAAAAAATAATTTTTTAGAAATTACACATCATTATCACAAAAAAAATTATAATTGTAAAAAATGAAAAAAAATTATCACAAGAAAACTTCATCGGATGAAAACTTCATTCGTAAGAAGCTGGTACAACTTGTTGTTTTCAACGTTGCTTACTTTAAATCCAGACTTCGCAGCCTAGAAATATCCTGTTGATAAATTGTTGATCAAGAATTTTGCCCAGCGGTCTATGCTCTCTCTTGACTTGCGTCTTCTATATGTCTGCTCTCTCAGTGTATGAAGTTGTCATCCGATGAAGTTTTCTTGTCATCCGATGAAGTTTTCTTCCACTCTGCCAGCTGTTCCAGTGCCGCCGTCGACTCCGGCGAATTCTCTCCCTCCTGCCCCGCCACCGCCTCCACCGCCTCCACCGCCATTACCGATGGAATTCGTTAATAAAGATAGATCTAATAACAATCCAGGGAATGGATGGGGATCGTCTGCGTCAAGCCGGCCGCCGACGGCGCCAAGAGAGAAAACTACCAAAAACAGAGGATGGGGTACCCCAATGCACGCTGCATCATCGGCGAACTCAAGCGGCAGAAGCACTCCATCATCTAACGCCCCGATCTTTATCCTGGACCCGAGAAAATCCCTGAACGCGGCGATCGTCCTGAAATCTTTAGCAACCACGCAGAACAAAATCCTGAGCGCTCTACAGGAAGGCTACGGAGTTCGCCCCGATATCCTCGAGAAGCTCGCCAAGATTTCGCCCACCAAGGAGGAAGCTTCCCGAATCTCGCGATTCGACGGCAACCCGGCGAAGCTGGCCGACGCCGAGTCCTTCCTGTACAGCATCCTGAAGGCGGTTCCGACGGCGTTTTTCCGGGTGGAAGCGATGCTGTTCCGATCGAGCTACAATGTTATCATAAGGAATAATATTTTAGTCCTTTTTTTTCATTGTGATAATTTATTTTTCATTTTTTACAATTATAATTTTTTTTTGTGATAATGACGTGTAATTTCTAAAAAATTATTTTTTATTTTTTAATTATTTTTTATTTGCCACGTCACACATTTAACGGTCAACTGTCAGAGTTGACCGCCACGTCAGTCAAAGTTAACGAAGGTTAACGGAGAGTGACCGAACTTGAACTGTTCAACTAATTCGAGTGACTATAAATGGAATAAATTAATTTGAGTGACAAACGTGAAATTTTATAGCAATTCGAGTGACCAAACTTACAATTAAGCCTTTCTCCCTCGTCCGAGCCGGGCCCACGTTTTTCTTAGCCCAGAAAAATGCGCGTTGGGCCTGAACTAGTTGGAGTGCAAGGAAATCAAACAGAAGCCCACACAAGCCCAAATAAAGGAGCAAACTTAGAAGCCCAAATAAGCCACCACAACCACGGCAAACTCGGAAGAATCCGTTCGACAAGACAAATCCATTTTTCTCTCCGGTCAACGGCGGTGTAAAATCCCTAACTCTCTCTTGATCTCTTTCCCGGCGGCGATGCCGAAGAACGACTTTCTCACGCCGAAGGCGATCGCCAACCGAATCAAGGCGAAGGGCCTGCAGAAGCTCCGATGGTACTGCCAGATGTGCCAGAAGCAGTGCAGGGACGAGAACGGGTTCAAGTGCCACTGCATGAGCGAGAGCCACCAGCGGCAGATGCAGATCTTCGGCCAGAACCCTCACCGCGTCGTCGAGGGATACTCCGAGGAGTTCGAGAACGGATTCCTCGACCTCATGAGGCGGAGCCACCGCTTCTCCCGAATCGCCGCCACCGTCGTCTACAACGAGTACATCCACGACCGCCACCACGTCCACATGAATTCCACCGAGTGGGCGACGCTGACGGAGTTCGTCAAGTATTTGGGGCGCACGGGGAAGTGCAAGGTGGACGAGACCCCCAAGGGTTGGTTCATCACGTATATCGATCGGGATTCGGAGACCATGTTTAAGGAGAAGATGAAGAACAAGAGAGTTAGGGCTGATATGGTGGACGAGGAGAGACAGGAGAGGGAGATTCAGAAGCAAATTGAGAAGGCGGAGCAGTTGCTGACTGGTAAAGAGGGAGATGGGGAAGGTAATGATGCTGAAGCGGGTGCTGTTGAGCCTCCAGCTAAGGAATTGAAGCTTGATGCTGATGGGGTCAAGATTGGATTTCAATTGGGTTCGAAGGGGAACAATGGCGGGAAGGATAAGGGTGAGAGTTCGAGCTCAAGATTGGTTTTTGAGGAAGTTGAGGAGGAAAGAGAGGGGAAGAAATCGAAAAGTAATGGAAGCAACGGCAATGTGGGCAGAGGTGGGAAATCTGCGTTAGAGGAACTGATGAGGGAGGAAGAGAAAGTGAAGGAGAAGAAGAACAGGAAGGACTACTGGCTATATGAAGGGATCATTGTGAAGGTTATGAGTAAGTCGTTGGCAGAGAAAGGGTATTATAAACAGAAAGGAGTTGTGAGGAAGGTGATTGATAACTATGTTGGGGAAATTGAAATGCTTGAGAGCAAGCATCGGCTGAGGATTGATCAGGTTGAACTCGAGACTGTGATTCCACAGGTTGGAGGTCTTGTGAAGATAGTGAATGGAGCGTATAGAGGGTCCAATGCGAGGCTTTTGGGAGTGGATACAGATAACTTTTGCGCCAAGGTGCAGATAGAGAAGGGGATTTATGATGGCAGAGTGCTCAAAGCTGTAGAATACGAGGATATATGCAAACTTGCGTGATGAGTATGTCAGAACTCTTTACTTTACCTGCTTATTCATCTTACTTCATTGCTGTTTAGAAATGCATGATGGTCTGTGTTGATCTTCCTGTGTTCTGTTAAGTTGTTTGATGAATGAATCAGAAAATGGTGAAAGAGTGTTACTTTAGAAGCAGCTTTGTCCTGGTCTTGTTCACAGATTGTTTTTCTTGCTTTGTGAATAGCTTAGAAGGTTTGGATAGCTTGTGTTACATGGTCTCGTATGTTGTTCATATTGGTTTCCCTGAGTTATTCTTTTGAGTTTGATGGATCCAGTTCCCTTTCCTGTGAGAATGATCTGTTCTATGTAGGATACTTATTTGCAGCATCCTTCTGTTGCTTTTGTTTATGTAACATTTTTCTTGTAGTCGCTTCTGTAGCTTTCTTGGCTGTCATGTATTCAGAAATTCTTGTGTTCATATTCAAATTCATGCTCTCTCTGGTCAAGATATTACAGGCAGTTGTGTGATCAGCCATTTCCATTATATTTTATGACAGGGTGTTTTCTGTCGATTGAATCCAAGCTGGAGTTAGCTGAACCTTACGCACTGATTTGTGATGGATCTCAAGTTGGTTTTGGTTTTCTGTAATGCTGCTGCTACTTGAGGGAGATTTTTCTGATCTGGAATCTTGGACAAACGAGGGAGATTTAGAAAGGATGTTCAGTATGTCACATCATCAATCATGGTGACTGGAAAAGTTTCATCTTTCAAATTTCACCTGCTTCAGATAATCAGAGATCCATCTGCTTCAGTCCATTGAGTTGATTTCCATGGACCTGCGAGTCGTTCAAGCGCATATGTAAACCATCTTGTGGATTGAGAATGGACCTCCAACTCCGAAGGTCATGTCGATGCTGCCCATAGAGTTTGCTGATTGCCAAGCTTGACAAAGCAATTGCCAATTGTGGTCGTTCCTTGTTGTGTCACAAATTAGTGCAACACACAACTGTTTATATTTGAAGGTCCATTTCTTAGCTGACTTGTCTATCAACCAGCAAGAGTTGGAATGGATGAAGATTGCTGAATGAGCAATCTCGAATCTTCGCGATGGCTAGACCCATCAACGTGCTAATGAATATGTACTTCTCCCTCTCCGAGACACGACATATTTGCATATGTAACATAATTTTTCTCGTATTGAATCGAATCGAGTCAAGCAATCACAATTCGACCAACTGATACTTGGTTTGATTCGAGGCTTATGCTTGATGCAAACTAAAATTAAAGTTAGATCTGATTTAATGACACGAATTGGATCACAACAACATTGTTTTCACAAAGGGTCACACTCTTTAAAATGAGAGATGGGTTGGGTGTCAGTTTGGTGAGGAGCGGGGCGTTGATCAAATATTCAATACTCTCCTCCCCGAAAATTAGCTCTCCTACCTCTCCATCTCCAACCAACCATTTCCCCATTACACCACGCCCCCTCCCCCGCCTTTATTGTATTCGCCGTCCGTCTTCAACCCACAAGCCACAACTCTTTTTATTACTCCCCCTCGCTTCTCCGGCTGCCTATCTGAGATCTCGTTTCCATACCACATCATCCACCACCACTGCGCTGCCTCCTCAGGTCGAGGAATTGGGAAGACTCTTTGGTAAGGCGGAATGAAGGTCACAGTGGTTTCTCGCAGTGGCAGAGAGGTCATCAAAGGAGGCATCGACCTCAGCGATTCGGTACTTTCTTCTACTTCTACTTCAGTTCTCGCTTTGCTTCTCACTTCTTTTCCCTCAAATGGGTGGACAGACTATGGGGGAAATGTTAATTGTGTATATCTATGTGGGTCTGGTCTACTGTAGCGATAGAGAAAGGCGACTTCCAACTTTGCCGGGTTTTCTTTGCTTTTCTTCTTTTCATTTCCCTTTCTGGGTTATGATTATGGTTTTGGTGGGGGGTTTTTTTTTTTTTAATCTTTCTTTTGGCCGGTTTCTCTTTTGCAGGCTACGGTGGCCGATCTGCAAGAGGCAATTCATAAACGAAGTAAGTAAACGGAAACTCTAAGTTCAGTGCAGATTTGGATGGACATAATGATTGCCAGAGTTTCGTATGTCATTGTTTCAGTTGAGTTGCTTGTTACGTAGCTCTGCCATGCTTACTGTCTCCAGAACCCAGCTTTTCCCCCCCTTTCTTTTTCTAGTGCTGTGCTGAACTTGATATTGTTAGTTAGGCAAATCCCATGGAGGGTTAATCTTCTATAGGCTGTCTGGCTGTGGAGTGAAATCTACTGAATTAGTCAGTCAATCGCAGTTGCCTTGCTCGAGTTTGAGCTGTTATATCCTTTCTTCTCAGTTTCAAGTTTACTTAGTACATTCATGCTGAAGGTTTCACAATACCAGTTCCAGTGGTGATGTTAGTTGACAGAAATGGTTTAGTTGATCATGTCATCCTTGGTGGTTGTAATGCTCAATTGTGGCATTCTCTTCATCTTCTGTGAATATATTTTGGGCTAGTGCTTGTAGTTACGTAGATAAGCTGATTTATGTTGTTATTGATGATACAGCTAAAAAGTTCTATCCATCAAGACAGCGGCTGACCCTTCCTGTGCCATCTGGATCAAAAGAGAGGCCAACAGTCCTCGCCGCGAAGAAGAGCCTGAAGGAATACACTGATGGGAACTCAGACAGCTTGACCATTGTTTTCAAGGACTTGGGTCCTCAAGTCTCCTACCGTACACTCTTCTTCTTCGAATACCTTGGACCTTTGATACTCTACCCCGTTTTCTATTACTTCAATGTCTATGAATTCCTCGGCTACAAGGGGTCCGAGCGTGTTATCCACCCGGTTCAGACATATGCTATGTACTACTGGTGCTTCCACTACTTCAAGCGTATTATGGAGACATTTTTCGTGCACCGGTTTAGCCACGCCACCTCGCCTCTATCCAACGTGTTCCGCAATTGTGCGTACTATTGGACGTTCGGTTGCTACATTGCTTATTACGTGAATCACCCGCTCTACACTCCTGTTGGTGACCTTCAGATGAAGATTGGCTTCGCCTTTGGTGCGCTTTGCCAAGTCTCAAACTTTTACTGCCACATCTTGCTGAGCAACCTGCGCAGTCCTGATGGAAGTGGTGGCTATCAAATCCCTCGTGGGTTTCTATTCAATATTGTGACTTGTGCAAATTACGCGACGGAGATTTATCAGTGGTTGGGTTTCAATGTTGCAACTCAGACCGTCGCAGGCTATCTTTTCCTTGTGGTTGCTGCTTCTATCATGACCAACTGGGCCCTGGCTAAGCACCGCAGGTTGAAGAAGGTAAACGATTGCCAAAAACTTCTCTCACTAAGCTACTAGCTAGATATCTTGATTGTGCTGTTGAGTAGTACATAACAAGAACAACTGTGTGAACACCCTCATCGATGTTTATTTGATTCTTGCAGCTGTTTGATGGGAAGGATGGACGACCTAAGTACCCACGCCGATGGATCATACTACCTCCGTTCCTGTAGAACCGAATTGTTGCTCTACTCCCCTTCGCTGTTGGCTGCTTAAGAAACGCTTCCTCAAACTCAGAGCACTGACATTTCTTGTCTTGGTGGATCATTTTCTATGGCGTTGAAGATGGAAGGTCCTGGTTTTCCCAATCGTCTCACTTGTGAAGTCGTTAAGCATTTCGTTATAGGAATTGGTTGTTGGGAACCAGGGAAGTGGACGATCGGATCCTCCTTGGCGAGCTTTCTACTTTCAAACTCTTGGTTTAACGTTATTTATCCGCGGTTTCCTGTTTGTGTTGAGCTAGTTTAGACCGAAACAGTTGTGGTGTCTTAATGATCTTGCTGTGGTGTTTTAGTCTCTGCTCTCATCTTACAGGATATGAATTATTGTTGTACTCATCTTTTAAGTTATGAACCCAGCTAGTCGTTGTATTATCTCCTTGAACACAGATTGAAGAGAAACCAATAAAGCAGGGTATGTTAGGCTCACATCCGTAATGTCATCTCATTTTTTTTCTTCTTCAATCACTTGTCCTGTATCTCATCTTCTAATTGTCGTTACCGTGTCCATGTTTTGCATCTCATATATGATTTGCAGAGGGTTTGATAATGAATACTAATGGATCTTGGAACTTAGACTAAATTGCATGTGATCCTGCCTGGAAATTCTCTTTGAATTAGGGGTGTCCATTCGGGTTTACCCGAACCCGAAACAGACCCGATTATATATATTTTTTGTTTTTCGGGTTTGGGTTTGTTTCGGATTCGGGTTTATCTGTTTCAGGTTCGGTTTTGCTTATCGGGTTTTCGGGTTCCGGCTGAAAACCTCCAATGAATAGAATTCAGCCCGTATTCTTATGCGTTCGAATTTTTCGGATTTCGGTTTTGCTTTAACCAAACCCGATAAAGATTTTTCGAGTTTCGGGTAACCGAAACCCACAAATCCTTATCGATTCGGGTTCGGTTTTCAGTGATTTTCAGTTTCGGGTTTTCGGGTCTCGGTTCGGCTAACCGAACCCGACCCGAACTGACACCCCTAGTTTGAATCCTGTACACTAATTAGAAGCAATAAGCTATTCTATTACTACTCCTCTTAACCGAAAGATAACTAATGAGGTGTAAGTTTGTACGGATCCTACATTTCTTGTAGTTAAATTAAGAGTTAAGGTCATGGAGATTCAAATACAAGACGTCTCGATCCTACCACACTCACTTTACTAATATTGATTGTTGTGGAGATTCGAGCACGATCAAACTCTGTTTATTGAGCTTAAATTAATCGATACGCAGAATTTATCAATTTATCTGGCATGATACAGCAGTAGAAGGCATCAATAACTGCCATGTGACTGTGTGAGTGATAAAGGGTGGCTAAATGCAAGTGGTGGAAACTGGAAGCAATGATATCGATCGATGTGGGGACTCAAACGGAACAGTCGAATGATGGTCTGGGCTGGGGAGCTAAAGCGCACACACGCGGGTCTCATGATTGTCGCGTCACACACCTTCATGCTACTATGTTACACCCTTTTCCCTCCCAAATCACATGCTTATGATTTTTACCCCCAAACTAAGTGGTCGTTTGGAAGTTGCGATTGTTAAATAGATGTATTGTTAAGAATACATGTATAATATAATATATGTATTGTCGAATTTGATGCATTGTAGAATACAACGTTTGGTATGTGTGATTGTGTATGTCGCATTAGCTAAAAGCTGAGACAAAACAATCTCAACTCAACTATCTCAACAATCACAACTAAAAGTTGAGATATAACAATCACTCAAAATGAGTGATAGTTTCTGTCACATCACAGAAACAATCCATGTATTGTTTCTGTTAAAAAAATAAAAAAACGATGCAATTATAAACAATACATGTATATAACAATCTCAACAAAACAATTGCAACTTCCAAACGACCTCTAACAGTATAGACTGAAAACATGTTTCGTTATATTTTTGTTGTTGTTGTGGTGGCGGCAATACGAGTTGACAACACAATATAAGTTAGCTGAAATCACTTTAAGTAGCTTTCTTGTAGCATCCAAAAGTTGTTTCTCGTGAGATTCTGTCAGTTGCTTGAATAACGTTCAAGCGAGTTTATGATTAAATCTCACTAGATCCACTTTTTATATGTTGCTTCTCTATATTTGTGCATAGCTCATCCACGAAACCTTATTGTCAATATTATTTTCATTCATTTATTTTTTCATCAAATTTCTCATAATCGTCAGGTCACACTATATCTTTCATTTTTTTTTCTCTTGCTTTGTCTTTGTCTCGACATTGATACTGAACAATGTCTAAGAGAAGTAATTCAATACATTTTTATTTATGGTGTCAACTTCGATAATTTCTCAGAATTACCAACTAAACATAATTATGTTTTCTATGTTCATATTGTTGTTATACATCTGTTGTCACTTGTCACAACTCTACCGCAAACATAACTGTTAGTAGAGGTCAACTTTTGGATATGCTCATGAAATAGGATTAACACATGGCCATAATATTGCTACCCTTGTTGGTGATTGTGTTTTAGAGAAGAGACAAGTATGTGTGTGGCATCTCCAGTTATAGCTTTGGATCATGACTCCTAGGCTTAACCTCGTCATTGATTCGCTATCAACTTTGAGTTGCTTACTAGTCATTGATTCGCTATCAACTTTGAGGTAACTGTTCAGATCGAGAAGTAACCTTTATGTATGCGTTACTTGTTCAATACGGTATTTCCAACTCTTGTTGACTAAGTGGGGGATCGTTAGAGTAGTCAACGATGAATAAAGTACCACATTGGTGGGAGAAGGAAAGTGCAAGTGGTTTATAGCCAAACTAACTACTTTATTTTATTGAATAAAATAATAAGTGATTTTTGGAGTGAGTGTGTGCACTACGTTTGCTCGACGCGTTTGTATTTGAAATTTTGGCTAATTAATTGATATTTGATTTTTTTGAAACGACATAACCCTTCCGCCTTCGGAAGGGAACTGTCGTTTCATAATAAAAGACTTCTGCAGCCCATATTCTTTTCCAACGTTCATCTCCTTCTTCTCGTTTTCCTTCTCCAAAAACACAAACACAGAAGTCAGAAAGGTGTTCCTTTCAAATTTTGATTGGAGGGACTTCTAGAGATAGTTTGACTAAATCCTACCAGCCATAACGTAGTGAGAGCAAATAACACTTTTAAAAACAGTGATCAAAATCACGCATTCAATAACTTTCCTACCGTTTCGCTTACAATAACAATAACAAACCCATACTAAGTGGGGCGTGATGTGTGGCAAGCTAGTGACCATTTTGGTTAACTACCCAAAAAGCTACCATGACAGCAAAACTTGCTATGAGATCGTGAAAAAGATGAGCTATAAAGCTGTGAAATGGTCCATGGGCAAGATTATTTTTTTTTTTTGGTAGAAGGGCAAGATTCAAAATATGAGTCAATCACTTGGCTTTCTAGCTGTGTGGGCTGCTGCTACGAGGTGAATATTCTATTTTCAAAAAGAAAAAATATTAAAGACAAATTGCAAACGGAAAATCCCAAATAGATTTAATATTAGCTCAGTCACTCCTATTATTATTTCAGCTCATTCAATTTTATTTGCTCTGGCCATCGTTCCAGAATCATCCTTTTTTTTTCTCTATTTTTATTATCCGGAGAATGCAAAATAAATATATAGTGATCAAGAATTCAAGATGCAACGCAGTTCCTTTCACCGTTTCACGCATAAACGACGAATTAAAAGTCCTTCAAAAAGATCAAAACGCGACGGGGAAATGAAATACAGAAAAGGAAAATAGAAAGACTGGAAAACCGGACGGACCAGTGGATCCATGGAGCCCTGAGAGCCTCACAAAACGTTAAGGACAAGCCCGCGACGCGTTCCTCTCGGTAACCCGTACCCACAGAAAAAATAAAAAAAATAGGGAAAAAGAATCTAAAAATAAAAAAAAGCCACAATTAATCCAACGGCCCACATCCCATCTCGGCCTTCCATATAATCCCCAATTTGTTTTCGCATTCGAAAAAGAAAGAAAAAAAGAAAAGGAGTCAGTTTCCTCTCTCACTCACTGCTTCCCCTCTGCTTCTTCTTCTCCGCCTTTCTTCTGCTTCCATCTCCCGTTTCCTCATTCGCGCTCTCTCGCTACCGTCTCCTTCTTTCTCCTTCCTTCGTAAGGTTTCCGCTCTTTTCTCTCTCTTTCTCTCTCTCTCTCCCTCTCTGTATCATTGTATGTTGTTCTCTGCGAATTATCCGCAATGGCGGATCTATTGATTGATAGTGATTGGAGATGCTTCGTTTATGTTTTTTTGCTGAATTTTGGGATTGGGATAGGGGAAGATCTCTGTTTTCATTTCCATGGCTGTATTTTCAAAACCTTTCGATAGATCTGTTGCCTCAACATTAGCTAATACTTCTATTTCCTGGGTCTTTGCTTGTATGGAGTGGAGCGAGCCTGATGGCGTGGGATATTGCGATTCTGCAATGGTTGAATCTGATTATCAAAACGGGAACAAAATGTTGATTGAATTGTATTCGTTGATGTTTCGTGCTTTGCCTGTGAGAGTTCCTTCATTGGTTCCCTAGGAAGTATCGCTTAGTGGTCTGTCTTCTTTACATTTCGTGCTTTGGGTTCTTCTAGGTTGCTTTCTTATGTAATGTAGTTTCTGGAGGTTTGCTGAGGCAGTTTTTAGGGGACGGTGGTTGATAATTTAAGATAAGATGCTGCTGTCAATTGTCATGAGGCCACCATGCATTTATGTGAAAGTGATTGCACTCCTTGTATTGTATTCTTTGTCGACCTGCATTGATGATGCTATGTGACAATTTGATGTTCACCAAACGAATGGGATGTTGTTTGCGTCGTGTTGAAGTATTTGTGTTTGTTATATTACTACAAATAGAACAATGTTTGAGCTGTTTTGGCTGATGAAAAGCTTGTATTGCAGTCCGTAGAAGATGGCAGATTCCGAGGATATCCAGCCCCTCGTCTGCGATAATGGAACCGGAATGGTTAAGGTATGGTAGTTGGGCTTTGTTTTCCTTAGACTACATTTGAACATGGAAAATTATATTGTTTTGGAATATCAGTCTCATCTTTTAATTGTGTAATGTTCAAAGCTAGTTATTGAATTTCCCATTGCCATTATGATGATTTCCTTGTCAAGAACGAGAATTCTTTGTAGGAGTTGTATTTTGAACCAAAGATAGTAGCTTTACATGGGAGAGATGAATTAGGGCGATGGTTTCTTAACTTCAGCATTCAAGTTTTATTCGTTTTTCTGGCATCTGAGAGCTGATTCTGGTTTTCTTAGGCTGGATTCGCTGGAGATGATGCCCCACGTGCAGTGTTCCCCAGTATTGTTGGTCGTCCACGCCACACTGGTGTGATGGTTGGCATGGGTCAGAAGGATGCTTACGTGGGTGATGAAGCCCAGTCAAAGAGAGGTATTTTGACTTTGAAATACCCAATTGAGCACGGTATTGTGAGCAATTGGGATGACATGGAAAAGATTTGGCATCACACCTTCTACAACGAGCTCCGTGTTGCCCCTGAAGAGCACCCAGTTCTTCTCACCGAGGCTCCCCTGAATCCCAAGGCCAATCGTGAGAAGATGACCCAGATCATGTTTGAGACCTTCAACACCCCTGCCATGTATGTCGCCATTCAGGCCGTGCTTTCCCTATATGCCAGTGGCCGTACAACTGGTAAGCTGTTATATTTTAGCTTGATGAAATATATCAGTGCGGCTTTTCACTTGTAATCAATGACATTTAGGGTCAACAGTTTTTCTAAGAAGTGTGTTTGTCTGTGGTTCTATGTAGGTATTGTGCTAGATTCTGGTGATGGTGTCAGCCACACAGTCCCAATCTACGAGGGTTATGCCCTTCCCCACGCCATCCTTCGTCTCGACCTTGCTGGCCGTGATCTCACTGATGCCCTGATGAAGATCCTAACCGAGCGTGGCTATTCCTTCACCACTACAGCAGAACGGGAAATAGTAAGGGACATGAAGGAGAAATTAGCATACATAGCTCTTGACTATGAGCAGGAAATGGAGACCTCCAAAACCAGCTCATCTGTTGAGAAGAGCTATGAGTTGCCAGATGGACAGGTTATCACCATCGGTGCTGAGCGCTTCAGGTGCCCTGAAGTCCTCTTCCAACCATCCATGATAGGAATGGAAGCTGCAGGGATCCATGAGACCACCTACAACTCCATCATGAAGTGCGATGTGGACATTAGGAAGGACTTGTATGGAAACATTGTGCTCAGTGGTGGGTCCACTATGTTCCCTGGTATTGCTGACAGAATGAGCAAGGAAATCTCTGCACTTGCACCAAGCAGCATGAAGATCAAGGTGGTTGCACCGCCGGAAAGGAAGTACAGTGTCTGGATTGGTGGTTCCATCTTGGCTTCCCTCAGCACCTTTCAGCAGGTAATTCATCATTACTCTTGAATCCACATCTAGTTAAGTTGATAGACTGTTTTCTCTGGATTCTTGTCTGTCTAAAGCCCTCATGTTGCTCTTTTGTGTGCTCAGATGTGGATTGCCAAGGCAGAGTACGACGAGTCTGGACCATCAATTGTCCACAGGAAGTGCTTCTAAGCCGTCTTCAGTTTCAAAAAGGGGAAAACCAGCCTATGGAAGAACAAAGGAAGTACACCACCTGTTCTGCAATATTTCCAAGAGAGGACGATATTGCAACCCTTCCCCTCCTGTTCTTGCTTTGTTATCCTTCTTCTTCTATGTTTATTCTCAGGTGTTTGGAGTGATGATTTTGAGAAAGAGGTCACAAGTCGAGATAGCAACAAAAAAAAAAAAAAGAGGTCCCAATTGCTTTTTGTTTTACTATGTTAAGAAGCTTTTTTTCTGACTGTTAGAATGCAAGTTTCTCCCTTTTTGCGCTTGTAAAACCTATTCTGTTTATTCTCTTTTATCCCCCCACTCGAAGGTCTTCTGATTAATTTGTGTTTGCTTTACTTATTCACAACATGAAAAGCATCAAAATTAATTAATGCATAGGCCTTTACATACCACACAAAACGGCTTTGTGTCTTTCATGATAAATATTCATTATTTAGAGAGAAGAAACTGATGCTATGGCTGGATGTCACTGTTTACTAGTAAAGGGTGGTCGCCTTCAATGGTGGGAAAACCCTCGTGTTCTTCATCTTCAGCTGATGGTTCATCCTGCGGAAGTTCGGTATAGGAATGGAGCCTTAGTTTGGGAAGATCGCAGCTTGAATTCCACCTGGTTATTGCCTTTAGTAGTATCCCGGCACCTGTGGAGTCAGGACTCTGGCTCTGGCTGCCATCATCCGAATCTAAATCGTCTGCAGAAAGTTCTGCAGGAGAATGTGCTCTTTCTTGGGATAGATCGTAGCTGGAATTCCGCCAGGGTTTCCTGCTCGGGCTGCCATCCTCTGTATCAGATGACGACGACGATGATGTTGAAGGGTGTTCATTGTTGAATCTTCTTCCGAATCCTTGAATCCCTCGCATTAATCTTCGTTTTCGTGTTCTTTCTTCCATGAGAAACTCGCCGTCTTCAATTAGCTTTATCACCTTCAAGGACAGGTTTGCCAAGGTCAACCCCCAGTTGAAGCTGCATGTCACCAGAAAAGATAGAGGAATATGAATCACGTTCATCATAATCTCTCACCATCTGAGCTATTGATCACCCTAACCAATGGTTTTGTGTTCTGATTGACTAACCCATTTTCGTCGATGACCGAGAAAGAAAACCCAATCTTCCTGATAACATGCCTCTGCCTCTCAAACTCTTCAGCAACTCTCAGAGGTCCATGGGTGAGAAGGTGTTCTAACAGGAGCAAGGTCTTGTAATATATTCTCCAACTCTCTCCATCGAAGTTTATCAACCTGAACCACGAAATTCATCCAAAATCAGCATAGTGCAAATTTACATGAAAAAACCGTAGAATTATTGCATCAACCTAACCTATATATATATTACCTATCGTGTACAATTTCCACAATTCTGCAGTAATCGTCGACTTCGAAAGCTGCTCTCGAGATCACTCCCATGCTGCGTGTATCGGGCGGCCATACGTTTTCGCTTGTAGCTTCTTCTGCCAATCTTCATCCTCCCAATGAAGGGAAAAGCAGAGAACCCAGAAAAGGAAAAGAAGAGGAAAACAAAACCCATTTTAGGAAACGAGCAAAATCAATCAAAGCTGCAAGCTTTTTTTTTTTTTCATATGGCAGAGAGAACATGTTAAGGTGAGCAATGTTACAGTTGTGCGGGGGTGACATCGGTAAGCGCCAAGCGAGCAGTTTTGATCTTCTCTTTGAGGTAGAAGGAGGCCTGTCTCTTGAATTCCGCCAGAATTGGGCTTCCCATTGTTGATTATGATTTAATTATGTTGCTCCTGCTGCTTATTGCTTGAGATCACAGTATGGCGTTCTTGTGGAAAGATGATGAATGGATCATCAGGGAAAAATTCAAAACAACAGTTGTTGTTTTGAATTTTTCCCTGATAATATGGATGACTGATTGATACGAAAGAGGAGAATTCTTGCTGCATATAAAGCTTGGTCTTTTAATTAGCTGCAGCTAGGTGAAATTTTAGATGATAACTGTGTACGTAACTAAGAACTTTCTCCACCATAACTGCTCCACTGTAGGTAGGAAGCAACCATAAGGGAAACAAACAAGGGGTTTCTTAACTACTATTCCTAAATAAGCGAATTAGGTTTGCGTAATGGGAACGACGAATGAAATTAAGATTTGTTTCTTGTTATTTTCATGGAACGAAGGTGGTTACTGGTTAATGATCTGACAAATGAAAATTAATAACCAAAATTCGCATTTGAGCTTTCCGTTTCTTGTGTTTTTACGGGTGAACTTGATCTTTCGGTGTTCAATTTATTCCGCTATTTGTTTTGAAAGTTTGACTAATTGAAACTGAGACATCAAAATTTTGGATAAACTTGAATTGTAATATAATTTTTTTTAGTTACGAATGAACTTGATCGTTTACGGTTGAATTCATTTCACCTTAGAGGCTTAGATCTTCATTTGTACTTGTAATTTTGTTAAGATGTGCTTTTATTGAGCTTATAACTAAAGTTCACCTTATGACTTCCTGTCCATCCAACTGGTCCTAAAAATGTCAATGTACAATATCAGTTTTAGAGGTTGTATGCTTGGTGTATTTACAAAACTAGTCGTTTTGTCAAATATAGATATTAGGCAAATCTGGATATTAACAATGTGTTGTTTGTTAAAAAGGTTTTAGATGGGTACATGTTACATATTATTTGAGTATTAGTCAAGTATAATTTTACTATCTTTTCTTTTTGAATAGTAATTTTATTTTAACTAAATTGTAACTATTCCAGAGTATATCATTTTATAACCGAATATAACCTATACTTGAAATAGATCTTCAAAATAGTAACGAGTAGAAATAGTTTGTAAGTATTACTAAATAATTTAAAATTACTTGGTTTAAGAAGACAAAATAGAGAAGGATTATATTGTGCATATGAAAAAAGAGGAGCAATCACAGAAAAATTAAGTCATGTACACATGATCGGGGGAAGAAAAGTTATTTGAGAATAGTCATTTGCAAAGGTCTCATTTTTTATTGGCACATGTGTCATTTTAGCATCAAATGACTCATGCAAATATAGCATTGTCTCTAGAGAAGCATGTGTCATTTTAGCAACGTGTCATTTTAGCATCAAATGACTCATGCAAATAGAGCCTCACAAAAAATGTCGGGATCAGATAGTGGCGTTACCGATGCTGAGAAGCAACGTGGAAGAGATCCCAACAAGAGCTCGAGGCCAAAAGGTACGTCGAGCACTCGTGATCCTTTAACGTCTCTAGAGAAGCGAGTCTCTAGAATGAAGGTGAAGTTTCCGAAGATGTCACCGTCATCGAGGATTTGGGAGCTAACTTCGCCCAAGTCCAAAGCGATGTTCAAGGAATGAATGCTCGGTTGTCGAGCTTGGAGATCAGGCATGATGGGCTGCGAGAAGAGCTTGTGGCCCTCATCAACAACACCATCTCCGAGTCCATGAGCAACGCAATTGAAGTTGTGAAAGAGCATGTCCAGGCTGAGCTGGTCGGCGTGAAGGAGGAGATTGCAGACCTCAAGAGTGAGGTCACTCTCGTGAAGAGGGTCATGGCTAGCGGACCTGCCGCGGTGCAATCCGTCCCACGTGCTGACGTTCCAAGACCAAAGAACTTTGGAGGTTCAAGGAACGCGAGGGAGTTAGAGAACTTCCATTAGAGTATTGAGCAGTATTTCAAGGCATCTGACATCCAAGAGGATGAGGTAAAAATTCGTATCGCTCCACCTTACTTGGTCGATATTGCTATGGTGTGGTGGAGGCGACGTGAAGAAGACGTCGAAAGTGGTACGTGTGTGATGGCAACGTGGGATGATTTCAAGAGAGAAATCAAGAGGCAGTTCTACCTGGATAACGTGGAGTATGAAGCCCGCTCCATGTTGAGAAGACTCACCCAGAGGGGTGGAATTCGAGAATATGTGAAGGAATTCTCGAAGCTGCTTCTAGAGATCCCGGACATCACGGACAAAGAGACCATGCACGACTTACTTCATGGGCTGCAACTGTGGGCCAAGATGGAGATGCAACATCGAGGAGTGCAAGACCTTACAACTGTCATGGCCACGACATAGTCTTTTGTTGAGTACAAAAGGCAAGATAGCAACAACAAAGAGAAGAGTTCAAAACCTAGCAAGGGTGGAGAACAACAACGGCCTTTCAAGGAGGGCACTCACACTCAACAACAGCATGCTGTCCCAAGCAAAGGGGGTAAGTACGATCCAAAACCCGTATCTTGTTTTCTTTGCGATGGACCACATCAAGTGCGAGATTGCCCAAGGAAGGAGAGATTGGCAGCCATGGAGGCTCAAGATGAAGAGACTAAGGCGGAGGAGGCCAATATTGGTTCAATCCGCAAGCTTGGCGTGGTGAAGAACTACGTCAAGGAGAGCAAGCGTGGGAGGTGCTATGTTCTGGCCCAATTCATGCAAGGTGAGACAAAAGCCTTGGTGGATACCGGTGCCACAGACAACTTCCTTCGCATCGAGGAGGCAGTCCGACTGGGTATTGCCTATGAGAAGGGGCAAGGGTGAGTGGGTGACTGAAGACGATCAATTCAGAGTCCATCCTGATCCATGGAGTTGCTCACAACGTGCCAGTGAAGCTTGGTGGGTGGGAAGGTCTCATCGAATTTTCCGTCATTATCATGGACGATCACCCAGTCATCCTCGGCATCAACTTCCTCGACAAGGAGGGAGTGCTCTTGAAGCCCAACTCCAACACGATGTGCTTGGAAAAGGGAGGGAAGTTCCATGCGGTCCATCTCTTGAGAGAAGATGATCCCCATAGTGCTTTGTTCGCTATGCAGGTATGGAAGGGGTTCAAGAGGAATGAGCCAACATTTCTTGTGTCCTTGAAGATGGAGGAAGAAGGAGGCTCGAAGGAAACCACAACTCCCATCATCGAAGGTGTGCTTGAAGAATTCGATGATGTGATGCCATCGGAGTTGCCCAAGAAGCTGCCACCAAGAAGAGAGGTGGACCACAAGATCGAGTTGGAGTTAGGAGCGAAGCCCCCTTCGCGAGCACCATGGCCCCACCAGAGTTGGAAGAATTGTGAAGGCAGCTCAAAGACTTGTTGGAGCATCGGTGTTGTTCCAAAAGAAAAAGGAATGGTCGTTGCGCATGTGCATCGACTATAGAGCCATCAACAAGTTGACGGTGAAGAACAAGTGGTCGATTCTCAACATTGCCAACTTGTTCGACCAACTTGGAGATGCGATGTGGTTTACAAAGCTTGATCTTCCCTCGGGATACTATCAAGTGCGGATAGCTGAGGGCGACGAGCCAAAGACAGCTTGTGTGACAAGGTATGGCTCTTACGAGTTTCTTGTGATGCCATTCGGTCTCATCAACGCACCAGCAATATTTTGCACTTTGATGAATCAAGTGTTTGAGCCATTCTTGGATCGATTCGTCGTAGTGTACCTGGGTGACATCGTAGTTTATAACAAAACACTCGATGAGCATGCCGAGCACCTACGCCAAGTCTTCCAAGTCTTTCGCGACAACAAGTTGTATGTCAAGAGGGAGAAGTGCACTTTTGCCGCCACGGAGGTTCCTTTCTTGAGGCACATCATCGGTGGAGGAAAGTTGAAGATGGATGGGGCTAAGGTGGATGCAATCGAAGAATGGGAGTCGCCGATGAAGGTGCCAGAGTTGCGGTCATTCCTCGGCCTTGCAAAGTACTATTGAAGGTTCATCAAGGGCTACTCCAACGCTGCAGCACCCTTGACGGATCTTTTGAAGAAGAACAAGGTTTGGGATTGGTTGGAAAGATGCCAAGAAGCATTCGAGGCCTTGAAGGCAGAGGTGATGAAGGATCCCGTGCTTGTGCTCCCGAACCCGATGTTGGCCTACGAAGTGCAGACCGATGCATCTGACTTCGCGATTGGTGGTGTTTTGATGCAAGATGGGCATCCCATTTCCTTCTAGAGTCGGAAGCTCAACGAGACGGAGAGGCGATACACAGTCCAAGAGAAGGAGATGACGGTCGTGGTGCCTTGCTTGCGCACATGGAGGCACTACTTGTTGGGGTCAAAGTTTGTAGTGAAGACGGACGACGTGGCAACAAGCTACTTTCTCACGCAGAAGAAGCTCAACCCCAAGCAAGTGAGGTGGAAATACTTTTTGGCCGAGTTCGACTTCGTCATGGAGTACTATCCAGGCAAGGCAAACTCCGTTGCAGATGCTCTTAGCCGCAAGTGTGCAACCGCAAGCATCAGCCAACCCGTGTTTCCTTTGAAGGAGTGGATCGTTAAAGGCCTTGGCCATGACCCATTTGCTAAAACTGTAGCGGAGTACATCGAGCAAGGTAAGACTCGACAGTTTTGGATGAGGGATGAGCTCATCATGACCAAGGGAGAGCGCGTGTTTGTGCCAAGATGGGCCAACTTGAGGAAGGAGATCATTAAGGAGTGTCATGATTCCAAGTGGGTTGGTCATCCCGACATCGAGAGGACGCAAGTGCTCATCGAAGAAGCATACTTCTGGCCGCGTATGAAAGACGACGTGGAGATGTATATGAAGACTTGTCTTGTGTGCCAACAAGAAAAGATGGAGCAAAGAAGCCCGACTGGCTTGCTAGAGCCCTTGCCCACACCTCAACGACCATGGGAGAGTGTAAGCATGGACTTCATCATCGGACTTCCTAAAGTCGACGGATGCGGTTACATCATGGTTGTGGTGGATAGGTTCTCGAAGTATGGAGTGTTAATCTCTGGGCCAAAAGACATGACGACAGAGGATGCAACACGACTATCTTCAAGAACGTGGTAAAGTATTGGGGCATTCCTAGCAACATCGTGAGCGACAGAGATGGGCGCTTTACGGGCTGATTTTGGCGAGAGTTGTTCAAGACCATGGGCTCTGACTTGAACTTCTCGACGGAATTTCATCCTCAAAGCGATGGACAGATGGAGCGGGTGAATGCCTTGCATGAGGCTTACTTCCGGCATTATGTGAGTGCAAACCAGCGAGATTGGGTGAAGTTGATGGACACATCACAGTTCTCCTACAACTTGCACCGCATCGAGTAAACCAACACGAGTCCATTCGAGTTGGCGATGGGGAAACAACTGTTGACGCCCACAACAGTGGCAACAGGGTATAGAGGCAACAGTCCGGCAGCCTACAAGTTTGGTAAAGGCTGACACGAGAAGATGGAGATGGCCAAGTCTTACTTTGCCCGCGCTAGTAAGAAGATGAAGAAATGGGCGGACTAGAAGAGGCGGCACTTGGAGTTTGAAGAGGGAGACATGGTGATGGTGAAGTTCTACCCTCACCGCTTCAAGCATCTCAAGAACGTGCACAAGGGACTGCTTCGCCGCTATGAAGGGTCATTCCCGGTCGTGAAGAGGATTGGCAAGGTGACATATAAGGTGGAGGTGTCGTCGCACTTAGAGATCCATCCTGTCTTTTATGTGAATCAACTCAAGGCTTTCCACGAAGACAATGAGGACGAGCAGCGGATAGAGTCGCATAAAGCACCAACACTCGTCACCAAGACACACGACCATGAAGTCGAAGAGGTCATGGCGCGTCGTGTCATTCCTCGTCGTGGTGTACATCTAAGCTTCGTGGAATACTTGGTCAAGTGGCGCAACCTTCCGGAGAGCGAGGCAACTTGGGAGAAAAAGCTCACACATTGGAAGAACAAGGACTTAATCGAGGCTTTCCATCAAGTGGACGCGGCGAGGGCGTCGGGAGCATAGGTGGGGGAGGATGTCACATGTGACAGATGACATGGCGCCAACAAGGTGACAACATGGCGGCTGCACATGTGGCGTGTATGGAAGACTAGTAGCATAGAGATGCTCTTAGGATTCTCCACCTAAATGAGAGCTTAATGGTGCGCTTATGAGTCAAATAATGAGTGACATTTATAGAGTGCATAATGGGGGGACTGAATGTGTGTATTGAATATTGATGTAGAGGGACATTATGAGGGGCATTGATGCCTTGTATAATGAGAGGCCTATATAAGGAGTCATCTCACTCACTTGTAACTCGTTCCATCATTTAGTAATACACACTAGAGAGTTCTCCCATCTTCTTTGTCTTGTTCTTGCTTTCTTTGCTTGCTTGTGAGTTTGAGAGAAGGCTGCTTAGTTCTCTAACGAATTTGAGAGCTAAGGCCATGACAGTGTGCAATGGGTAAAGAGGAACAGAAAAAGGAAATATTATTACATGTCTAACAGAATTGACACAGCCAAATCAGCGAGAGAGAAAACATGGCCAAGTCATTGTTCTATCAGCTGTCTCCTCCTTGCTCTGTAACCTTATTTACTCACAATAGGTTTATAACATGGTATTACATTGTCTTTTTTCTTAATAATCTGAGTTAGTGGAAGCAATTGGTTTATGATGTGGTATAGGCATCATAACCGACAATATTAATAGTTAATGTTAGCTAATGACATAATTAAGAGGCCTCATGATTATGGGACAAGTTAGTATAGTATATGACGGAAGAGAACGCGGATGATCCTTTTGATTTCGTATTGACGACATCGAGCTCAACGACAGTGGTGTTTTGGGACGGCATGCAACTCAACGACGGTGCTGCTGCTACAAAATTAGCCATCGATGCATGCAACTGTTTTCACTATTTAACATAGTAGTAGGTACAGTTAAACACCAACAGCAGATCGAAGTTTATTAAAGCTAGTTGATATGATGATGTTACAATGTGCGAGAACTGCAACTGCAACAGCGTTAATGTTAATGTGTATTGTTGTATTAGTATGTACAGTTGCGGCAATTGGAGACGATGTGTCGCCCCTGACGCCGGGGATAAATTGGTCCAGCGACAAAGTGTACTCGGTGGCGTATAGTTTCGCATCCGATATCGATAAAGTTCTCGACGACCTGTCCGAAATGGACTCCGCCCTCGTGCCTACTATCGACGTCGATTTGTGCTCTCCCGACCACGAAAATCCAGTGGCTTACGGGCAGCGAATATGCACCGACGAGGCGAAGCTCATTCCCCGATGCGAGGAGTGTTGCAACGATGCGCATAGCCGCCTGGTGACTGGGTGTCGGAGCCTCTACAAGGTCGGCGGTCAGGTAACGCTTGATGATTGTTTCATGAGGTACGAGGTCTATGATTTCATGTGACAACCCAGAAAGCAGTAACTTCTGTTGTTTAGAAATAAAACTGCTACAGGCAGCGAGTTAGGCATGTGATACTCGGATCTGTGCAACCAACCCTTTTGAAATCTATGCATTGGCTTTCGTTGGAGGAGTTGTTGTTTAATTGCAAACATATAATGTGAGTCGTGACAAGTCATTATTTGATTGAAAATGAATTACCTGAGGTAAATTAGGGTAAGGAGAGGGAATGATACCACAGGAAACAGAGTTTATGATCAGTAACATGATCGATTCCGTTGGAACAGAATCACCTGCCCAAAAATGTGATAAAAGAAGAAAACTTTAGAAAGTGTCTGCCTGAATTGAGATGTAAATGTCAAGAGGGTTTTTTTTTTTTTTGGTTTCTACAAGGAATTGTCCTAAACAGCTGCAGTGTAAAAGTGAGGTTGGTGCCTAGTGAGGAAGGACATTGGTGGTTTGCTATAGGAAGAAGACAACTTCCATCCCTTCCTTCAGAGTTAGTGTGGACAAGGGAAGGACATGCATATATTTCTCTATTCTGAAGATTCAATAGGAAATTTTCCACAATCTGGTCCTATATCCCACTGACATTAGTGCAAGCTCCCACAGCATGTTGGGGATACTTAATAGGTTGACCTTCGACCCTGGTATTTCCGACCAGTTGACTGAAATCTCCAGCATCGGGATGCCAAACTGTTTGCACAGGAAAACCAGCTCGACGTCGAAGCACCATCTGCAAGGTCCCAAGACAGAGACTGACATCAGCCAACAGCCACCAAAACAATAGAGCAAAAACCCATTTGCAACTATTGCTGCATTGGCATGCATATATTCTGCCACATTATGGCAACTTGATATAATATGTATATACCTTTTGAGCCTAATATTTGTGAAAAGCTTCCTTGCAGCAGCCCTTGTAAACATCTTAAAACCACACTGCATGCATTCAATCGTTGTCAGGACAAATAGCCGAAATAATAATGGAGATAACCCTCATGGAACTTCTTCTAAACTTACCTGGGTATCGCGTATACCAGGACCGGCAGCCATGAGAACCACAATATGGAATCCTTTCATCAGAAAATTACGGTACCATTTCCTCTGAAAGATGAAAAGGAAAATAATTTGATCAAATATGTCAACAATGAAACATTCATGGGAATTAAAACTTGGAGATGCAATCAAACCAGCAAGAAGAGGATCATAAGACTAAACTGTTGCCAAAGCCTTCTCTTCAAGATGAGCACGGGAACCAAATGCAGCTACCGGGATGTCAGCTATCCTAAAACCTGACTTTCCATCCTTGGTATCTTCAGCACTTGCAACTGCACGGATCTGATAATATAGAAAACGTGGGAATCAAAATGTAATTTCACAAACTCTTCTACATATGCTTCAAGTGACTTCTGACACAGCAAAAAGTTCACAAGATCAAGTCAAAGCCCAGACACAGCAGATTATGGACCTTATTTTCAAGCTTCTCCAGATCGTTAACCTTTGTTGCTCCATCTGCATCCAGCATTAGAAGTATTTCACCACGTGCATGAAGCATGCCCTGTTTGAAAAGGGGTCCACAAATTTGAGAAACTGAAATGCATTTACAATCTACATAATGAGTCGAAAAGGGGAATAAGACTCACTTTTCTAATTGCTTCTCCTTTACCATGATTTCGCCCAAGAAGGATAACCCTTACATTATCAACCGAGTTTTTCCTTACATAGTCAAATGCCACCCTTTTTGTTCCATCAGCACTTCCATCATCAACAATAAGTACCTGTTCAGATTAAAAAATGTATCCCGTTGAGAAATTGGCAGGCATATCATACAGTCTCAATAGCTAACAGTGCATTAAGTTCAAGAACTCCATCAAATGAGTTCCAGATCCCAAATCCAAATCTTATACTGTCAAACCATGGAAACTAGAGAAGCATACCTCGTAAGTAAAAGACTTATCCATTGCTGCCCGTTTATCGAGATAGCTACAGCGTAAAGACACAATATCATCTTTCATGTAATGACAAAGGACAAGGAGTCAACATGAGCTTCCTATATAAAGTTCGTCCCATCGTAGCAGATTAGAGCCAGGGAAAAGTAACACGCTTCTACATACTCAATTGTTTCATCAAGAGCTGCAGGAAGTCTGTGCTCTTCATTGAATGCGGGAATGATCAAAGATATGTACTTTTCGGCAGGATCAACTAGATGTGGACATGGAACCTGGAAAGTGAAAAGGGTGGTTCACGTAAGAGATTGTGTTTTCTTCACCAACCTTCAGTAAGTAATTTAAGACCCTACACCAACAGTCAGAAAAATGACGAAACATGCTAATAGCTTATCTTAAAGAGGCTAGCAGAACTCTTTACCCTTCAAAATACTGTGATAAAGAACCACCTAGCATATCAGTTTCATTCTCCACTCCAATGGCATTATTAAGATCATTTCAGTGACCATATTCCAAGAATTCAAAACATAACTAAGAGTATATATTGCAGACACCTTGAAATAATGTTTTTAAACTACAACATGAAGCTTGAAATCATCACTTCAGGAATTAATAACAAGTTTTGGTCAACCAAATATGCCAAGTGCATCTGTAAGCCCCAACCTTTCACCCATCTAAACGAAAAGTAAACACCTTTCCGTTCTCATTGCTAATGACCTGCCAAGCTATACTTATCCTTTCAAATAAAACATGCCCAATTCCTACTTCATGTTTCATAGATCCACAAACTCCAAACACACCTCAGTATATCCATCTTCCCCATCGCCATTCCAGAACACTGACTACTATCCTAATCCAAATGGCAAAATCTCAGACCACTACAGAGCCATAATAGCAGAAAGACGTATATCTATTCATATACTACAGCTTCACTAGAGCCATAACTCGGATGGCCGATGCAAAAGTCAAAAGCAGTCACGGGACACATCCTCCAAACGATGTACTAACTCATTGCATTGTCGATATTTTATTAAATTAATGCATCCCATGTCCTTTCTCTTGATCTGCCGAACATTTTTCCAATTCTCCCTGAGTTTTATCTTATTGCTCAAGCATCCCCCCAAACCAGTATTAATTCTTTCTCCCCGCTCGACCTTCTGCCCCAATCCATCCGTCCAAAATAAACCCCATTTCTCAGTTTCCTCTATTTCACTTCAATCAATTCCTTCAGCAAGCACTTTCAGCATCTCCTATAACTTCTCAAGCACCTTAACAATCATATCCAGCTGAAGCAACCCATCCACCAATCAGGTTCTTACACCAACCATGGGGAAATGAAAAAGGAAGTAAAGAAAGACACCTACCTAACCAACCAAACAATGTTCTCCCCAAGACGCAAGACTCCAACAAATTGGCAGCAGGGGTTAGATCAGCTGAAAGAACCAACACTAACCTGCTTCAACGAAGTCGGATCCTCGAAAAAGGCAGGAGAATCGATGTGCCTGACAAAGAGGAACCCAATTATCCCAATATCCATTTCACTGATACAAATGAACTGGAACCCAATTAGGGATTGTGAGCTCACTTGTTGTTGTTTCTTCTTCGGTAGGCTTCGAAGAACATTGCGGAGAGGAACAGCGAAGCAACGATGAGAATCAGGGCGAAGAAGAGCTCCGCGATCGTCCACAGGAGCTCCATTCGTTGTCAACCCTGTTTCTGTTAAAGCCGTTTACCTACACGGATTATACCATCGCCTGTAGCGGAAGCTTGAAGGCTTGACAAGATTTCTTTACGAGTTAGTTGAAGACTGCTGCTGTAAAAGTGAAACTCGGATCGGACCGCTGGTTAAGCCAAAACAAGCGAGGGAAAGGAAGTTCAAGTTCTAATAAAATAGTGATTATACTAACACTAATAACTTTAACAAGCAGCCCGTCTAGCTCAGTTGGTAGAGCGCAAGGCTCTTAACCTTGTGGTCGTGGGTTCGAGCCCCACGGTGGGCGTAATTTTTATTTTTCACCTAAAGCCTCTTTTTTCAGTGTCCCATGGTTTATTCTGGAAAATGTTTTTCATGACTCACTCTTCAAATCCACGTTAATATATCTAGTGCTAAAGCCTCTTTTTTCAGTGTCCCATTGTTTACTCTGGAAAATGTTTTTCATGACTCACTCTTCAAATCCACGTTAATATATCTAGTGGGTTAATTGCATGTTTGGTAACTGGGTTTACTAAAAAGACTCATGTTTAGTCACTCGAAATATTTAATTTCAATGTGGTTCACTCAAATTAGTAAATGGTCCATATTTGGTCACTAAATCCTCGTTTGTTATGAAACTAATGGAAAATACAAACAACTACAAGAGAAGATTAGAGAGGGAAATACACAAGAGAAGAGAGGGGAAGAGTTCTTCTTATTCATTCTCCACTTTTGATACAATAATATGCTCTATTTATAGGCACACTTTGGTAACCACTACATCCTTATATCAATGCATATGAATGAGATAATAATGTAGGAATAGGGGTTACATGTGTGGGCGTTATTTTTATTTTTCACCTAAAGCCTCTTTTTTCAGTGTCCCATGGTTTACTCTGGAAAATGTTTTTCATGACTCACTCTTCAAATCCACGTTAATATATCTAGTGCTAAAGCCTCTTTTTTCAGTGTCCCATGGTTTACTCTGGAAAATGTTTTTCATGACTCACTCTTCAAATCCACGTTAATATATCTAGTGGGTTAATTGCATGTTTGGTAACTGGGTTTACTAAAAAGGCTCATGTTTAGTCACTCGAAATATTTAATTTCAATGTGGTTCACTCAAATTAGTAAATGGTCCATATTTGGTCACTAAATCCTCGTTTGTTATGAAACTAATGGAAAATACAAACAACTACAAGAGAAGATTAGAGAGGGAAATACACAAGAGAAGAGCGGGGAAGAGTTCTTCTTATTCATTCTCCACTTTTGATACAATAATATGCTCTATTTATAGGCACACTTTGGTAACCACTACATCCTTATATCAATGCATATGAATGAGATAATAATGTAGGAATAGGGGTTACATGTAACTCCTAAGTGAGCATCTAATGTGGTAATGGCAATGGTCATCCATATATCAATATTTACATAATACTCCCCCTTGGATGACCACTAGATTGCATTACGCTATCTCATACTGCCTCATTAAAAACCTTACCAGGAAAACCCATTGGGAAAAACCATGGTTAAGGGAAAAAGAGTGCAGTGCGTATATGCTCCCCCTCATGACCACATCACTTCAGATTATTGAGTTGGTGAACTCAAATTTCACGAACAACTTTTAGAAAGATTGTTGTCGGGAGTGAGTTGGTGAACAATCTTCTAGATTGTCAATTTGATGCATGATCTTTAGATTTTCTTCATACATGATCGTCAGGATCATTTCCTTTGAAAATAGTTCATAACCACAAGTCCTTTAGATATGGTGGATCACAAAGTGTAACGAAATACATTCAGGACTTGTCTATTATAGTTTGTTTTGTTTCTATATATAACAGTTATATCACCATATGTATGAGATAGTTCGTCTCCGATCAACCAATATGAGGATCAAATGGTATTATAGGATATGAATATATAGTTCACCAAATATCTCTTTGATAATACCATAATAGAACAATCGCACATATTGTTCCCGGAGGTAACTAATTATTTTCCAACGTTCCAACGAGGGAAACATTGTATCTTGCTAATATTATCAACACCAAAATGATAGTTTATATGGTGCTTGGCTAGCAAGGTGCATTGGTGCTATGATGCATCAACATATGCTACTTCAGGACCTAATGTTTTACTTCTTTCTTGATTTCATAATGGATCTTTGGTCACTTCTAGTGATCTTAGGATCCTAATGTTATTTGATGAACACAATTCGTTCATGCAAAATTACTTTCCCACTTTTTCAACATTACCTTCCTTGCCCATAAAAAGAATCTTAAATCCTTCAATTTAACTTATGTCTCTAAGCAATCAACATCTTTAGGAAGCTCTTCAGGAGCTCCAATAATACTCATATCATCAACATAATATGCGATCGTCACAAAAAAACTTGACTAAAACAAATTGAAGCAAGCAATTCTTTCATATCAAGAAAGATATTAACAAAACACACATCATAGAAACATATGAACTAGACAAAGCACACTCATAAAAAACAACTCATACTTTAAAGTAAATCACAACTCATAAATCAAGAATTTAAAATCCTTGAAACACATACAGACAACACAACTATATATGCACAATGCAAATGCTCTAATGACTCTATCCGGATTTAACCTTTTAAGGTCCATTCACCCTACTGTTGTAGCTGTTCACTTAGACGAGTATTTCGCATTCGTCTATATTTTCTCAACCCATACAGGGAATATTCTTAGTCTATCGATATATGTTCTCGAGAACTTTACTTGTTTACTTCAGGTAAATTAATCCTTCTAGGAGTAATTAATCCTTCTGGGAGTTTCAAATATATATAACATATTCAGGGAATTCAAACAAATAGGCTATCACAACAATTTTCAAACATTGATTTGCAAAAGTAGTTGCATCCACCACAGGGGAGTATAACTCCTCCTAAACAATGATAGGTCTCTTCGAGAAACCCATTGAAAAACATTATGTGATATATCTCACAATTTCATACTTTCCAATAGCACAAAAATTTGTTTGTATCCCGCTATTTTTGCCCTTTTTTAGGGGTAAGGACTTCTGGTCCTTAAACTTTATGCTCCTTGAGCAAGTTTCATGATTTCTTTCTATATTGGCCAATAACATTATCATTCGCATGCATCAATAGAGTTTTACTCTTGATCCTCACTTGTACATATCATATTCAGTACTGAAGTACAACAAACAAATTTCATCGACAATGATATCATTACGGTCCCAGTATTGTAGTCTAATATGTTTTTGAGATCTCTTCACTTTAATAACTTTCAGAGACATGTGTTCTTCTGGAACTAAAATTATACTTAATTCTTGGTTACTCTTCTTGAGTTTTCATGTCCTCGAGTTGACCATTCTAATCACAGCTCCTTTTTTTTCTCGAGGATGTTTATCGTTGGAACCGATTGGTCTATCACGCTTCATGCGCTCTTTTAGACACATTTTTTTATATTAGAGTATCCAACAAGGATATCAATTTTGGTTGGAGCATTCACAGCTAGTATATATGACTTGGACACTTTGTGTGGTCAGTAAAGATATTTGATAGTTGGTAATGATAATTCATCTTATGAACTTCAGGTTCATGTTTCTTAATTTGAGGATCAAAACTAGATAATGATAACTCATTCCAACTCATCTCTTTGTCTAGCTATTTTTTTTCTCTCCCCCTTAATGTTGAAAAGTAATCCATCAAAACAATAATTTCGCAAACAAATTTCCCATTCGGGATTCATACCCAACACAAATTCTCAATTTCCAACGAGAGATACTGTGGTGAAGCAATTGGGATGTATGCGGCACACCCTGGTATTCTCATATGAGAAATGTTAGGTTTTTTACCAAAATCATTTGTAAAAAGGGGGAACTTATGATAACTTGTTGGTTAGATGTGAACCAATATTATCACTTGTCAGCTAGCATGTCCTCGACAAGAGACCAGAAGGCTCAGTTTGTTCTCTTAAGAAAAGTGATGTTTGATTGAATAACCATCAAAATGTATCCATAGTGAGGCAATCAATCTCGCAAACATCGGGTTGCGATTAGATAAAATACATTTGATGCAGCAACCCATAAAATTCACAAATGATCCACATGACTGATGTATTGTTCTGCATACACGTCCATAAAATCTCAAGAGATTTGTCAACTCTTATACCAGCAATGATCAATTGTTCTATTCTCCTTGAGAACAAACATGACATAATAACTCTTTTATTTGAAGAGTTCTTTGACTTCTCATATGATGTTCTCATGAATTCTCAAAGAACTTTTTTTCACATCAAGATCCGGGATGGTCTAACCGGGCCAACCAATTATCAAGTTATCAAATCTTGTAAACTTCTGGTTTACACTTTTATATGTACTGATTGTACTAATATACATGTAGTACATATTTGTGATGCAAATATTAGTTTCACTATTTTCTTGATAAGATATTCTTTTTACGACTATCCTTTTAATTGGGTAATGCATCATCACTAGGTAGTTTGGTTCCTTCAGGCCACAAAATTAGCTCCCTTTAAAGCTTTATCATATTTTGTACCATATTTCACCCTTCCGGGGACTTATGATTTGATGCATTCTTAGTAAACACAAATTCATAGTGAATATAATCACAAATTGTTATCACGAGTACATAATTTAGTTACTTCAAGTAACCAAACATAAGCTCTTCGGAAGCTTTTTCTTATTTATGTAATCTACCATATAGTTTATATGGAATTTGTCTAGTACTCATACTTTATAAAAACATAATAAAAGTAATAAATGAGAATATTTCAAACTTAAGACAAAATTGATGAATTTATCAAGTTAATTATTCTAGATAAATGTTATCAAATTAAATTATGCATGAAAAATAACATCACAATAAAACATAAAAGAAATAAGAATCATAATACTACAATTGTGAAAATTAAATAAGATTTATTTGGAACAATACCATCACTGACTAGGTGATTTTAAATTTATATATGCGTTTCATTATACATTATAATGTACAACAGGTACATTATGTTATCATGACTTTGATAATGCAATTATGGTGTCATCCTTATTTATAATTCTCATTTATCTTCTCTTTTCTCACTTCTGGTGAAAAGATCCATACAATACATTTACCATATATATAATTATGTTTATAGTTTCATTCACTTGGGGG